ATCAACATATTGGTGGCACCTCACCTAAAAGCTTATCAGCCTTGCCATTCTGATGCTTGGAAAAGGCTGGGGTGAAAGAAACACTCCTATTTCTCCCGGACCTTCCAAACACTTACTATTGATTGTGGCATGCCAAAATTGTTCTGTAAGACATCTTGCAGCCTTTAAGGGAATAAGACATTCAGCAAATCCCTTCGAAGGAGGATGAACTACCAGCACAGTGTCTTAATCAAGACTTCTTCAGAATTAGAACATGCTTTACAAATAGCAACAGATATTTAAGAGGTAGATGTTAGAAGCAGGCAGCGAGTTGGCCATTGGCCATTGTAGCAGATGGGACTTGATATCCAAACCACATCTTCTTAGAACAGAAAGCTAAAGATCCCTGCTGTACATGAATGTTGAGCCAATTCTGGAGTCAAAACCTGTTAAAATAGAACTACTTCTGGGTATTCTTTAGAAAAAGAAGAAAATGATTTTTTGATCACCATATCTTCAAAATATGTCATGGACGTATAGAATTACAACATTTAACAAATTTAGATACAGTACCATTTTGAGTTAAGAAAATCTAAAATTCTTGGGAGATCTTGATTTCTGACAAAAACCAAGTTCAGTACAACTCTTATTCTGCTCAATGCTTGTTCATTCACTCTATTAAGCCTTCTTTAGATTTGATTACTTTTAGCTCAGATAACTTTCTAACTGCATATATTTTGGGTTTTGTGGATATGTGTAATGTTTGTGCTCCCATCTAAGGAAACAATGGTTTAGCACTGTTAGTTAACCTGGCCGATAAGTAATTTCCATTCATTTAACAGACATTCTGGGTGTGAGATTTGGGCAGTTTCCAAATGTAATATGTATTAAACCCTACTATTGGTTAACTAGGATATTCTTTATTTACAAAGGTGCCAATTTCTAGATGTACCCCAAGTTGTCTCCCAGGATATAACAAACTCCTGAGAGAGGGAGCACCAGTTTGCTGCTATGACTGTTCTCCATGTTTGGAAGGAACAATCTCAACAAAAGAAGGTACTTGATATAGGAGCAAAGAAGGAGCACTATACAAATTCATGAGGTCTCACCCTGCTTTGAATCTAAGCCTGTCAAAGACTTCCATGTTCCGAAGGACCTTTTGATCACCATATCTTCAAAATATGTCATGGACATATAGAATTACAACATTTAACAAGTTTAGATACAGATAGTTTGCTACTATTTGGCCAGTTTCCCCTCCCACAAATGCCTCAGAAGCAGACTTTTGTGTTGGAGATTTGTTCGGGCACTCTTGAATGGAGAAATCAGATATTTGCAATGGTTAGTGAAGCAGAAAACTCAATCAGTCTTTTAAGAAAAGTGCAGGCGATGAGACAGTTAAAATAAATAATTAATGTTCTAGCTATGCCACACTACAACATTGTGGTCGCTTGGTCATAAAATGATCAGTGCTACTAACTTCATTGGTTGCTTGTGTTTTTCAGATGTAGTTCATTGTGAAAAGTGTCCAGATGATCAGCATTCCAATAAGAAGCGAGATAAATGTATCCCCAAAATTGTAACTTTCCTGTCCTACAAAGAAATATTGGGTCTCATCCTGGCCCTCTTTGCCATTGTCTTATCTGTAATTACTGCCTTTGTTCTGGGAATCTTCATTCAATACCGAGAAACTCCCATAGTCAAAGCCAATAACCGGGACCTCACCTACATACTCTTGATGGCTCTCCTGCTTTCCTTCTTGACCACCCTTCTATTCATTGGCCGCCCCAAGAAAGTGACCTGCCTTCTTCAACAAATCTCCTTCAGTATACTTTTCTCAATTGCCGTCTCTTGCTTGCTGGCTAAGACTGTTGTGGTGGTCATGGCTTTTCTAGCCACAAGGCCAGGCAGTAGAATGAAGAAATGGCTGGGGAAAACTCTGGCCAACTCCATTGTCTTGTCTTGCTCTGGGGTTCAGGTGGGCATTTGCCTTATATGGTTGGGAATCTCTCCCCCATTTCCAGATTCTGACTTTCATTCCCAACCAGGACAGATCCTACTGCATTGCAATGTAGGCTCAGTCACCATGTTCTATTCTGCCCTTGGCTATTTGGGCTTTCTGGCTGCCATTTGCTTCTTTGCAGCTTTTCTGGCCCGAAAGGTGCCAGGGACCTTCAATGAAGCCAAGTGGATCACCTTCAGCATGTTGGTTTTCTGCAGCGTTTGGGTCTCCTTTGTCCCCACTTATCTGAGCACCAAAGGGAAATACATGGTGGCTGTGCAGATCTTCTCCATCTTAGCCTCCAGTCTGGGCTTATTGGGCTGCATCTTTGTCCCCAAATGCTATATCATTATTCTTTGCCCTGATCTGAACTTGAAGGCACATCTGATGATGAAAAACTAGGAGGCTTCATGATTTTGGTGCTTTATTGAGAGGGGAACAGAGTCTTTAAAAATATAATATAAGCTAGCTTGCCACTGGAATCTACAAGGAAGTCTCTTCTTCTTCTATGTCTGCTTTGACTTAGACCTAAAAAATGAAATTGAGGTACCAAGAAGCCATTATTTAAAAAAAAAAAAATTCTTATAGATCATGTATACAATTTCAATTGTTAATTTGAAAACAAAACTCCCAACATATGGTGGTTTAAATGAAATTTGGAAGAATTGCCTTTTTTACATGGACAGTAAACCTGGACCTGATTACTAGTAGGAAACTGTGCTATTCTCTTGTAGCAATAAAGAATAGTTGATCAGCTAAACGTTTATTCAATTTGTTACACCACAAGTTTCCTTTAAGTGCTTCATTCCCAATTATTTATGCCTCAGATTCAATTCTCAGACAATTAATGAGAAATAAGAGAATAAGGGAAGTTGTTTCATTTAAAGTCAAGTTCAGTGAATAATATGGGAATTTTGTAATTTAAACATATTTTAATACCTGAAGTTTTATTTTTATGCAATACTGTGTACTAAGGAGATTTTTTTTTTTTACTGAAGTCTTTGAAACAATCTAACATGATTTTTTTCTTGTCAGCTAAATATTACAAGGATTTGGTATCTTAAAGGGCCACTTCCATCCATTGTTTTTGTCGTGTCTTCTGGAAAATAGACTGGCACACACATTCTTCATCTTTGTAGCAGCCTCTCAAATATTGGAACACTGTCTCCCCTAGTCCTTCTTTTCATTAAACTAGACACACCCAATTTCTATAACTGTTATTTGTATGTTTTACCCTCCAGCCCCCTAAACTTGAGAGGAATGAAATTGGATTTTTATTTTAATATCAACATTTGTTTGAATGAAAGATTTTCTGAATTTTGCCCTCTTATAGAAAGGAAGTACACATGGATTGATCGATTATGAACTATCATATGGCTATCAACATCTAGTAAAATCATAGCTAGAATTTCTCCAGGATGATCTCTTCACAATCTGACCCTTTAGGTATCTCCATGGCAAACCGATAGCCATTCTAACTTTATCCATTTGATGCTGCTAATTCTCTTCTTCGCTTTCCTTCTAACTCTGTCCAGATCTGGCTAGCACATGAGTTGCAGCCTTATCTGGGGTGAGAAGGATGCCGGAATAACTCAAACCCTTTCCCCCCCTCCTCTAACTACCCAAAGGTGGTTTTTCAAAAGGTAACTGGACTTCGTTTTTCCTTGAAGACATTTTGCTTCTCATCCACGAAGCTTCTTCAGTTCTGACTGAAGTCAGAGTCAGAACTGAAGAAGCTTCTTGGATGAGAAGCAAAATGTCTTCAAGGGAAAATAAAGTCCAGTTGCCTTTTGAAAAAGCACTTTTGGGACGACCATGACCTGGATGACTGAGAATCTCCATCGACTTGCTTGGACTATTTCAAAGCACTGTATGTGAATGTTTCTTTGAAAACTATTTGGCAACTTCAGATCTGACATGGCTAAGGAACATTCAAGTCAGCTGCTGGCTGTCAGATATGAGAGTCTGGATTCAGAAACCCAGCCCTAAAGTACAAATGTAGAGTAGAGTACAGAACGATACCAAGGAAATTTGCATAAATCAGTTTGAGATGTGCCTATTAGCCATCTGTGACCTACTTACCAATGTGAACAAAAAAGATAAGCAATTACTGGAGAAAAAAAAAATGGGAGGAAAATTATATGTTACAATTCCCAGTGGGAATTGTTTCCCTGCAACCCTGTCATCCGTCCTCCAGCCAAATATATATTTGAAACCAGGGGCGGGCTTAAATTTTTTTTAGCAAGGAGTTCTCTGCCCAGTTGCTAGGTGGACATGGCCATGGTGGGCATGCCCTAGTCAGCCTCCTGCACCACACCGGGGGGGGGGGGGGTTGCCTTCCCTGGGCTCCGAAGACTTTCCTTAAGCCTCCGGGAGGGCGGAAACAACCTCCCCAGCCTCCAGAGGCCCTCTGGAGGCTCTCTTCCCAAACTTCCAGTAGGCCCATTTTTTGCCCTCCCCGAGCCTCTGCGCATGCCCTGCACTTACCTGCATCCAAAATGGGCCGTGTGGGGACTCCTGGAAGGGGCGGGGTGGGGTGGACGGCGCCAGCCAGGAGTGGGATTTGGAGGTTTTCTGAACTGCACAGAATATTAGCTAGAGGTTCTCCCGAACCCCCAGCAACCCACTCGTTTCAAACTAATAAAAAATTTAAAATCTCAGAATAAATTTCAAGCAAATAAAATATAATCTCAAAATATAGTAACAGAAACACTCATCATGATTAGCCACAGCCATTGACTTCCTCTAAAACTACATCATGCAGAGCATCTCTGATAAAAGTTTATCTGGCTTAATTTCAGTGATGGTAATTATTTAACATGAATTATGATAGCAAAAGGTAAAGAATATAAGAACTTGAAAGCAGTTGAGTTGTTTCAGCAACTTTATTAGTCAATTATCATCATGCAAAATTCACATGGAAGGAAGAAAGATAAGCTACAACACAGAAAAAATGATTTCCAAGATACGTTATTTCATACTAGCTGTAAACTGTAAAAAAAAAAAAAAAAAAAAAGCACCAACATCAGGAGCCCTCATTGTTTTTCATCATCATATGCTCCTTGGTGTTCATGGAAGGTCTCAAAATAATAATATAGCATTTGGGGGCAAATATGCAGCCTAGTAAACCAAGACTGGAGGCCAGCATGGAGAAGATCTGCACAGCCACCATGTATTTTCCTTTGGTGCTCAGGTAGGTGGGGACAAAGGAGATCCAAACACTACAGAAAACTAACATGCTGAAGGTGATCAACTTGGCTTCATTGAAGGTCCCTGGCAGCTTGCGGGCCAGGAAGGCCACCAAGAAGCAGATGGCAGCCAGAAGGCCCATGTAGCCAAGGGCAGAATAGAACATGATGACAGAGCCTTCATTGCACTGCAGCAAGATATGCCTTGGTTGGGAGTGAAGGTCAGAATCTGGGAATGGGGGGAAGATTCCCAGCCATATGATACAGATGCATACCTGAACACCAGAGCACAATAAGACAATGGAGTTTGCCAGACTCCTCCGAAGCCATTTCCTCATCCTACTGCCTGGCTTTGTGGCAAGGAATGCTACCACCACCATGACAGTCTTGGCCAGCAAGGAAGACACAGCGACAGAAAAAACAACACTGAAAATGGTTTGCCGAACAAAACAAGTCACTTTCTTGGGATGACCAATAAATAGAAGGGAGGTCAAGAAGGAAAAGAGGAGGGCCAGCAGGAGAATATAGGTGAGATCCCGGTTGTTAGCTCTGACTATGGGAGTTTCTCGGTGTTTAATGAAGATTCCCAGGACAAAGATAGTGATAAGAGACATAGCAAGAGCAAAGAAAGCCAGGATGAGACCCAAAATTTCTTCATAAGACAAAAAGCTTATATTTTTGGGGACACACTGATTTCGCTTCTTGTTGGAATACTGGTCATCTGGACACTTGCTGCAGTGGGCTGCATCTGAAAAACATTTGCTAGTATGTATCTGTTTCTGCAGCTGTGGAATCATGAAAATTACTACTACAATACATAATATGTTTTAAAATTTACTGGAGTGAGAGAGGATATTGAAGAAGGTTGGGAACATATTAGAAAATACTTTCCCACTGTACTTAGTTATTATTTCACACCATGTTGGATGGCATGAAAATGTATTCATGAAAGATAAATGAACAAGTAATACCTAAGAAATCATATGGAACATAGCTCTGAATATCACCTGAAATGTAAAAGTGTTGTGCAACGTTGTGCTTGGAATTCTACAGGAGGCATCAGATGGGCAGAAATCTGGAGCTTTAAATAGCTTAATTACTATTGGGATGTTGTTGTGTCGTTGCCTTCCATATATTATAATGGAAGGGGATGCTTTTGGGGTACTTATATTAAATTTGCTCACTGGATTGTTCCAACAATGCAGTCCCATAGTGCTTTACAGCACTCTCTGGGCAGTTTACAAAGTCAGCATATTGCCCCCAACAAATCTGGGTCCTCATTTTACTGATGGAAGGCTGAGTCAATCTCAAGCCCTGACAGGATCAAACTCCTGTCAGTGGGCAGAGTTAGCCTGCAATACTGCATTCTAACCAGTGCACCACCAGGGGTTTCTATTTCACAAGAGGAAATAAATGGTTGGAAGTATGGGCTGAAATGGTATTAATTGAAATCATCCATTAATTTAAGTAAAATAGAGATTTGTATTCTCTCCATTTTCATTAGGGAGTATGGCTCTTAGCTCATTAAGTATGGCCTGTGGCTGGCAAAACAACCCATGCTGGACCTCAGTTGCCAACAGAAAGACCGACATCATGATTGTCACATGCCCAAGGAATAATTCAGTATTTCTGCCCAGAGATATTCAAAGCAGCCAACATTAATTCGAAATAATTATCAGTTTTTTTAAAGGCTGAAGAAAAATGTGATCATCAACATTCATAGGACTTGTCTTCTTTATTTGAAACCAGCAAGAAGACAAGTTGAGAGACTGCAGCAACCTTTCATAATTTATTTTAAAGGCTCCAATGTCGAGCAACATTGGGTAATAATATCAAATCCTTGAAAAGTTTGTGAACTTTTTCTTACTTTGTGTAATTGTGTAAAAAAAAAAAACTATGTAAAAACTATATAAACTATATAAAAAAAACCTATGTAAAAATTAGATCCATAACCAGCAGGAAAGAAAACATTTTTAGAAATGTCTGTGGAGATTCTTAGGCATCCAGGTTATGGTTGTTCCAAAAGAGTCTTTTCAAAAGGCATCTGGACTTTGGTTTTTCTTGAGGACATTTTGCTTCTCATCCAAGACTCTTCTTCTTGTGTCTGAACTGAAGAAGCTTCTTGGATGAGAAGCGAAACATCCTCAAAGCCCAGTTGCCTTTTGAAAAAGTATTTTGGTGACATTTTTAGAAATGTTTCCCAGAAAACCAGGAATGAATTTTGATTCCATTCTCAATTCATTTTTTCTCTCCAAACCTACCTACCTTCTTGCACAGAAAATGTTCCTTCCATACAAAGAGAACAGTCATAGCAGCAAACTGGGGCACCCTCTCTAATGAGTTTGGCATATCCTGGGTAACAACTTTCTGTACATCTGGAGAAAGGTACCATCTAAACATAAAAATTAAGATCAACCAGGGCAACATATGAATATTTTAATCAACTGGTTTCTGGAGGACAAAGAGCACACTGAACCAACTCAAACGAGGAGTAGTGGCATAACAAACCCTCAACTTCCTTCATTTCCAACTACTGGAGGTACTGTCTAACATTGACCTTTATGGGAATGGACTCTGCACACAAACAACAGATGAAAGAGATTTCACTATCACAGCTATTGCAGTGGTGGGTTTCTACCGGTTTGCCCCAGTTCGGGCAAACCGGTAGTGGCGGCAGTGGGACGCTCCGCCCACCCGCCTGGATGTCATCACGGATGCTCGTGCAGAAGTGCCATGAGTGAGTGAAGCAAGCAGGGCATACATGCGTTTACAGTTCCGAACCGGTAGCGAAGTTAAGTGGAACCCACTACTGATCTATTGTCAATCCAGAAACATGTTGTTTCCATTATTCTCCTTTCTAAAGGAAAGTGGTTCCATTGCAAAAGGTGTTTCTCTTTAGGGCAAGTGTGGGAATGCTACATCTTGTACAGTGGTAGATTTCACATTATGTTGCTACCGGTTCGTGCGCATGCCTGCCTTCCAGACATGCGCCCGGCCTTCCGCTCATGTGCTTTGCTAGCACACACCTTCCACACATGCGCCCAGCCTCAAAAGTGTGCCTAAATAGGATGGCATAGAGCCGGGGCGGGTGGATGGGCCCACCTGCGATTTCCGCTACCGGTTTGGGTGAACCGGAACGGACCATCTGAATATCACCTCTGATCTTGTAGTTTTCTTTCCATTTTTGCTTTGGCAGGAAACCTCCAAAATTTGGCTTTCTTTGTCTGTGCGACAAATGTTTCTCTCCTACAATGGAACGTTGCATCAAGAAAATGTCATTTTTTTAAAAAAAACTGCCCTAATTTCCTTCCCTACATTATCAACTTGATGTCTTTCTCTCATGCAATGCAGAGTAATATTCCCTTGAATCTTTGGCTTTTCTCTTCTGAAGATAAGATTGTTTAATAGATTATGGATTAGGATACCAAATCCCCGTTTAGTAATGTAGACTGTAAAGATCTAATGCAATTGTTGCTGTGGCAGAATCCAGGTTGTGATAAATTAATGAAAGCTCTAAAGAATCATGGTATCTAATATTAGAGTTAGAGCAGGGGTGAAATACTCTTGGTTCGGACCAGATCGGGCGATCCGATAGCGATTGTGGCATGTTGTTTGGAGAACCGGTAGTGATGGCAGCGTGAGGCTCTGCCCACCCACCTGAGTGTCATTACTTCCTGGTTTAACCAGGAAGTAATGAGTTTTTTACCCTCTGCACATGCACAAGTTTTGTTCATGCGCAGAGGGTCTGCACATGCATGTGACGCGTGGCGCATGCACTTCCGAACCGGTAAGGAAGGTAAGTAGATTTCACCCCTGAATTAGAATTTACTTTATTGATTAGCCCTTGGGCCATGTCAAAGTGCAGAGTCATGGTATCTAATGAATTAATGGGGTCTTATGTTTCCTTATTTGAAAGTTATCTTGATTGTCCTCAGAATTATTTCAGAACACAAACGTTTGCATGTGGAGAGATAATAGGAAAACCCAAAACCAAGCAGCATCAGCTACCTTGTTAAATGATGTTGGCCATATAATGGCATTCTGATGGTTGGAGACCTTGACTTCAGATGAGGTTTCTCGTTCTACACTCCCAACTTTCACACCAACAACAGACGCATTGGGAAACATTCTCCAGTGCATGATATCAAAGTCAGCCACAGGAAGTCCATTTTCATCCAAATAAACAGCATCTCTGGAAATATTGTGAAGCTGGAAGTTTCTTAGCTTCTGTTGAAGCTGCAAAGGCATAGACAAAAATACCCGGGCAGGTTACACATTCCCCTTTGAGCCTTTATTCAATGTTTTCTGGCTGTTATTCTGGATTGGAAGTGCTCTGAATAATTCAACTTCTTCAGCTCAGCACTTTGGTCTGCAAGAGGATGATTCAGAAATTTATGAGAAGCCTCCCTCCCTCCTTCTTCAGTTGTCCTACCAAATCATAGCTTAGCATCAGAATTTTAACAAAAAATAAAAGCGCATACAGTTGAAATTGAAACTAGATCACAGTGATGGTTAACAGTTTTCTCTTCATGTGCCTAAAGAACACCGGTGCATGCCGGCGCCCATAATGCAATCTGTGCACACACACACACACACATCCGCACATGCGCACATGACCTTTCTGCTCCCCCCTGCAGCCTCCTGGGCCCAAACCAGGCCATGGGGGAGGAGTGCCACATCCCCCCCACGACTCCCACGAATGTGCATGTGCCCCCATGCCCCCTGTGTATGCGTGCACAACCTTCCGCACATGCGTACATGTCTCCTGCATGTGCCCTGCTCCCCATGCATACCGAAAATCAGCTGGTTGGCGGGAGGCACGCACATGCATGCACAGTGGCAATGCAGAGGGCTCTGCGTGCCAGCTATGGCACACGTGCCATAGGTTCGCCATCACGGCTATATCACCTTAAATCCAAGTGTTTTTCTGTGATACTGCATGAGACTTTTAAAATTTATTCTGCTTTATTTTTTTAATAAAATCTTGTGTGTTTGTGTGTATATGTGTGTGTACCCACATACATGGGCACATAAATATAATACATGGGCACATAAAGAGCCTGGTGGTGCAGCAGGGAGGAACAGGCTCAGGCTCAACCCATCCAAGACTGAGTGGCTGTGGTTTCCGACGTCCCGATATAGTCAGTTGACGCCATCACTGACTATTGGGGGCGAATCATTGGCCCCCACGGAGAGGGCTCGCAACTTGGGCGTCCTCCTGGACTCACGGCTGTCTTTAGAAGAGCACTTGACGGCCGTGACCGGGAGGATTTTTCATCAGGTTCGCCTGATTCGCCAGTTGCGTCCCTTTCTGGATCGGGACTCTTTACGCACGGTCACTCATGCCCTTGTCACCTCCCGCCTGGACTATTGCAACGCTCTCTACATGGGGCTCCCCTTGAGGAGCACCCGGAGGCTCCAACTGGCGCAGAGTGCGGCCGCGCGGGTGGTAATGGGAGCGACATGGCGTTCCCATGTAACACCTCTCCTGCGCGAGCTGCACTGGCTCCCGGTGGTCTTCCGGGTGCGCTTCAAGGTTTTGGTTACCACCTTTAAAGCGCTCCATGGCTTAGGACCCGGGTACTTGCGGGACCGCCTACTACCACCAATAGCCTCCCACCGGCCGGTACGCTCCCATAGAGAGGGGCTCCTCCGGGTGCCGTCAGCCAAACAATGCCGACTGGCGGCCCCCAGGGGGAGAGCCTTCTCTGTGGGGGCACCTACTATCTGGAACGAGCTCCCCCCAGAGATACGGAGGATCCCGGATCTGCGCACCTTCCGCCGCGCCTTAAAGACCTTACTATTTCACCAGGCCGGCCTGGCCTAATTTTCCCCCTCTTTTATAAAAGATTTTTAAAATTTTAAATATTTTTTAGTATTTATATATTCAATTTTAAATTGGTTTTAAAAGTTTGGGGTTTTAAATTTGTCGGGGCCAAAATTATTTAATTTGATTTTATTCTATTTTTTAAATTTTGTATTGTATGTGTTTTTATTGTTTGGCTGTGCACCACCCTGAGTCCTTCGGGAGTAGGGCGGTATAGAAATCTAATAAATAAATAAATAAATAAATAAATAGCCTGTTATTAACATTCAGCTGCCTGCAATTACTGCAAGTTCGAATCTCCCCAGGCTCAAGATTGACTCAGCCTTCCATCCTTTCTAAGGTAGGTAAACTGAGGACCCAGTTTGTGGGGGCAATAAGCTGACTTTGTATAAATATACAAAAGTATGAAGGCTATTGCTTAACGCATTGTAAGCCACCCTGAAAAATCAAAAATCAAATTAAAAAAAAAATATGGACTCTGAAATAATAACCTTTTCCCCAACTTTCAGGGGCCTTGTCTTAGAACCAAACCCAACTCTCCTTTCCTTAGCAGATTGCAAGCAAGAGATTTCAGCTCTTCCCCAGTCTTCAGATGGCATAGTCAACAACAGTAGGTGGACATGAAGGGTGAAGAGCGAACAATTGCATGGAAGTCGTAATGTGGAGATAGTGGGAGAAACAAGAAGGCTTGTCCTGGTACCCAGGAGAAATGACACAAAGATCTGCCAGCTGATGGATATCGATGTGAAAAAGTTGAGCCAGAGAGCACCAAATGGGAGCCTTCCTGAAGCCCAAAGTACTTCAATGAGACCAAAGTCTTGTTAAGCCAAAAGGAAATAGTATTGGTAATAACTAGAAATAGTGTTGTACTAGAAGTCTTCTTTCTCTCTTCCACCCCGCCTGGAAGCAAGACCAAAGGTCTGGAAGATGAAAGTCCAACCAGGAACAAAGAAGGACCTTCAAAGACCCACCTTTAGGCCATTGTAGGAAAAGTGGAGTGTTTGATGGAGCAGAAGAGAGGAGGAATTCTAAAGAGATAAAAGAGAGTGAATGCAGTTGGCTCTCTATTAAGCTCTGAGCTCTGAGCTCTGAAGCTGCAAACTAGTCTGCTCTACTGAATTGAAACTGAAACTCTTCTCTCCTCTGTATTTGCTTGTAACTACTACCACACTGGAGAATCTGCTTTTGGTATTGTATGTGCTATTATGTATATAAAGAGAAGTTAATGAATCCTGCTGAATCTGTGAACCTGTGTGTGCTTTCTGGATTTGATTTCTGCAACAAACTCTGACAGAATAGATATCCCCTTTACACACACACATACACACCCACCCCCTAGGAATATAGAGTTTAGTGCTGTAGCAAAGGGGAGATAGAGAAGTTAGCATTAGAGAAATATGTACTGTAGGTATAATGATTCAACAATTTGAAGGTATAGTTTGGAGTAGTTGTAGAAAAGACATATCTCGATAGAAGATAGAGTGAGTAAAAGGAATCTAGAATCAAGTCTAAAAAAAAAAAAGTCCATTGACTTAAGAAGACAGGAGCTGGACTAACAAATACAACAAAAGAAGCCCGAGAGTGTTGGTGAAGGCAAATCAGAATGTTAAAAGGAGATGAGACCTACAACATATGTGTCAATTCACAAAGCATTCCTGGCTTGCTCTCAAGTTGCCATAGGCAAGAGGGGTTGGGAAACCAATGAAGCAGCTGACAGCCAAAGACAGGAGTGCATTCCAGACATATCTTTCTCAAGGCTGTATCCCAGGTTTACCCATAGTGGCCGGAGGGGAGTAGTCTCTACAACCTGCGAAATTGCTCCATTGGTGAATGTGATTGATGACACGCCCTGGGGGGAGGGGGGGAAACAGGGTCATGATTAGGGCCATAAATTACATTGGGTCAGAGTTGGCTTCATTTGGGAACGTGCCGACATGGAGCTCCTAATAAATAATTGGATTTCTTTTGAAGCTTGACTCGAGGCCCATTATTTAATTAGGGCATCCATCAGAACACTGACAGCATGTAGATCAAAGATCAGAATGAAGTCAGGACTAACTCCTTGGCTTAGCAAATGCACAAGAGCAGCAAGCCTGATCAAGGGAGAATTCTAATGCTTATTTAATTTGCAAATGGGGAAAATAGCTTTATTGCCATACAGCTATCTCTGTTATTAAAGCATCTCAAACCAGCACAGATAGTTTGAAAGGTTTATCCCTGTAATCTCTCTCATGTTCATTCTCAAATAATATAAACTGGGCATCTGCTGTTTGAAATATCCTACCCCTCCCTACAGTCAATCAAGTAATTACTCACGGATCTGAGCTCCCGATCAAAATCAAAGCAGGATACCACTCGCTGTGATTTCCCAATGGTTTATTTCACTGGAATCTTGGCACACAGTGAGTTCAGTTCAAAAGGAAAAAAGCGCTGTGATCTGTCCCCGTCTACACACACACACAAACACAGCCAGCCGAGGGTTAAGAAAGTACTTGGCTCGCACACAGGTCGTTATCTCAAACTTGGCAACAATATAAGCACCGTCTGCCAAGAGCTTTACTGCAACAGATAACATAACATTACATACGCATTGTAAATAATCCAGCAAAACAATATCCCTTCGGCAGCTTCAGGTGTTGTTCAAGTGACTAGCCAAAGTTAGTTTTTGTTCATCACGGAGTTTTACCAGCCACCACCCTCTCTTATATAGTCTCTGGGGTGTGGTCCAGTGACTCAGTTCTAATCCCTAGCACGCCTCCTTAACTGCTGCAACCGTTTATCACGCCTTCATTGGCATGCATCCAGGAACGACGGCTCTCCTTCCTCCCCCACATCAGAGACACCTGGCTCCTGGCTAATCTCCTCTCCCTGGGCCGGCACCTGAGACAGTGCCAGAGGGGAGGGGCCTGGAGAGGGAGGCCTGGCTGACTCCTCTCCCTCATGTTCGGAGCCTTCTTCCTCCGATGAGATAGGCTCAGAGGGCGGGGCCACAACACGCTGGGCGCTTTTTCCTCCCAGCACCCTATGAAGGCTGGAGTCATTCCCTTCCTCTGCTGGAGCAGCCAAACATCCGGCAGGCCCAGTCAGCTGTTTGTCAGCCAACCCACAGGCAACCATAATCAGCTGTTCATCAGCAGACCTGCAGGCAGCCTCGATCAGCTGTTTGTTGGCCAACCTGCAGGCAGCCTCGATCAGCTGATCCTCGATCAGCTTGTAGGCACACAGGATCAGTTGCTCGTCAATTCTGCTCTTGCTGTTTACCACTCACAGCTGAAGATCCAAAGATCCGAAGCTTCGTTTAACCACTATCCACCTTCTGTGCTTCCCCCTCCCCCCCCAGGTATGGCAACCCCAAGACGGCGTTTGTCATCATTGCTGTTTCGGGAGTTGACAGAGGAAATGAAAGGGGAGCATTAATGGAAGCTTGAAGGAGAATTCTCACCTGCCATGGCTGTACAATCTGGGCTGACTGATGGTCTTTAAACAGCATCCTCCTCTTACTGAATTGGGAGGAAGAGACAGCACTGAGGACCAAGGCCACAGCTTGGATTGCGTTGAAAATACTGGAGCCATCCTCAGACAGAATTCTTGCCACCACGTGATGGGGTGGGAATTTCCACTTCTCTTTTTCTGTGCATTTTTCCCAAACCTTTTTAGACCACACAGGCCTTGAATAGGAGCACTGGAATGCTTCCATTCCAAACTGCGTGGCAATATGAGAAAATGAATTGAAAATATAATATTGTGCCCTTGTCTTTGTCTGGGTGAGGAAGGAAAACAAAGCATGTTTATGTCGGAGATCAACAGAGTAGTAAAATATTCTTAAACTTATATCTGACAAAGTTGTTGCAATCCACACTTTCCCCCCAATGAATTCATTAATTGAATCAGTATATTGTATTAGGCTGGATAGCGTTGCTGTGGCCGGATAATCCAGTTGACAGATTATAATTTTGACTTGGCTACTGAAAACAGAAAGGAGACCTTCCGTTCTTTTTCCTCTAAGACTTTGATCCATGTTCATCATTGGAATGATCTCCGAGAAGACGATGCATATCTCATTTTTTACAGCTAGATTCGTCAAGCTTCTTCTAAAGTTTTCTCCTTTTTCATTTTCCTGAGAAATGAGACCGATCCACGTCCATCGGAAATGCAGGAGCAGCTTGACAATCGCTGAGAAAGGAGGTTCTTGTTTTGGGGTCAACCGATACAAAAAAGGAAAACGGTCATTTTGTTCAAGAGCATGGCTGATGATACCGTAATTGATCTGAGATGAAAGAAAAGACATTGATGGTTTGTGTCACTTTTAATGATAACAGCCAGCTGCTTAAATCTAAGAACTTAAATCTAACAACAACATAGTATACAAAACCAATCGCAACAATTGTAAACAATTCTATGTGGGCCAAACAGTAAGGCAATTAAAAACGAGGGTTCATGAACATCAACTAGCAACCAAAACTTCTTGATCTCGAACCACATTGATAATAAACAATACCAGTTTGATTGGGAAGGAACAAAAAATAATTGGCCATGCCAGCACCTGCCACACATGTGAATTTATTGAAGCCTAGTATTCTACCAAAGAGGGATGCGGTGGCTCAGTGGCTAAGATGCTGAGCTTGTCAATCAAAAGGTTGACAGTTCAGCGGTTCAAATCCCTAGTGCCGCGTAATGGGGTGAGCTCCCATTACTTGTCCCAGCTTCTGCCAACCTAGCAGTTCAAAAGCACGTAAAAAATGCAAGTAGAAAAATAGAGACCACCTTTGGTGGGAAGGTAACAGTGTTCCATGCGACTTTGGCATTTAGTCATGCCGGCCACATGACCACAGAGATGTCTTCAGACAGCGCTGGCTCTTCAGCTTTGAAACGGAGATGAGCACCGCCTCCTAGAGTCAGGAACGATTAGCACATATGTGCGAGGGGAACTTTTATTCTACCAAAGGAGTAATTAAGATGCATATTGATCTAGTTCCAGCATACAAATACATAAGAAACCAGACCATTCGAACAACCAATCAACAAGAGAACCAATCAGCTGATCAGAATTTAAATATAGCTCCAAACGAACAACCAATCACATGACCAACAAACCACATTGCACACAAGACATTTATAAGCTAAAGAGAATAGGACAAGAAAATCCTGCTGATGTGTTGTGGCTCCGTTGCCTGAGCCTGGGCTATCGACAGATGCAGACTCTGAGAGTGAGGGGGAGGAGTTGGCAAGGCCTCCCTCTCCAGGACCCTCCTCTCTGGCAATGCCTCTGGAGGACACCGAAGGCCAAACGATAGGCTCAGAGCCAAGCACGTCCCCACAGCCACAGGTGGACAGCAACGAGGAAAATAAGTGCTGGCTGGACCCTCGCCAGAGGCGCAGGGAGAAGCATGCGCAGCAGAGAAGGAGGCGTGCCAGAGATTAGCTGAGTCACTGGACCACACCTCACAGGCTATAAAAGGGAGTGTGGTGGCCATTCGGACTCTGTGACGGACAAAGCTAATCTCTGGCAAAGCACTTTGCACCTTCGGACACAACACCTATTTTGCTGTGGATTTAATTACGAACTGGACTATTCAAACTGTGTGTATTTTTGTCTGTGTTATCGGAGTAAAAGTTTTGGCAGGCAGCCACGGAGTTACTGCCAAGTTCCTTATCACTGACGTTGAGTGTTTGAAGAGTTTATTTAACCCTCGGCTGGCTGGTTGGGTGTGTGCGTGGTACGGGGACAGAACATGATGATGTTACCTAGTCTGGTAACGAAATGTTCAGAATCTAAATTGAAACAAGCTTGGAGAGCAAACCCCTGCCAAAATCTAAAACCAGAGCTACAAGTATTTTCTATTATTTCTGAGAGCTTTTCTGCACTGCTGAGAGAAGTTTACTGAAAACAATTTGAAACTAGCTCCAGTTCTGAAGAAGCTTCTTGGATGAGAAGTGAAATGCCTTCAAGGAAAAAAACAAAAACAAAAAAAAACAAAGTCCAGTTGTCTTTTGAAAAAGCACCTTTGGGACAAGCATGACCTGGAAGACTGAGAATCTCCATAGAAATTTCAGACTAGCGAGTTCTAATCTGTGGGTTCTCATGGGTGATCTTCATGCAACATTTGAGCCGAGGTGGTGCAATGGTTAGAGTGCAGTATTGCAGCTACTTCAGCTGACTGCTAATTCAGCAGATCAGCGGATCAAATCTTACCGGCTCAAGGTTGACCCAGCCTTCCATCCTTCCGAGGTGGGTAAAATGAGGGCCCAGATTGTTGGGGGCAATATGCTATTTAGTATACTGTCTTTGGTGTAAGCCGCCCAGAGCCCTCGGAGAGTGGGCGCCATAGAAATATGAATAATAAATAATAAATAAATAAATAACATACATACCCAACAAGACAGACACAGACTTCAGAGGATAATTAGAACTGCAGAAAAAACAATTGCTACCAACCTATCTTTCATTGAGGACCTGTATACTGCACGAGTCAAAAAGAGGGCTGTGAAAATATTTACAGACCCCTCACATCCTGGACATAAACAGTTTCAACTCCTACCCTCAAAACAATGCTATAGAGCACTGCACACCAAGACAACTAGACACAAGGACTCTTTTTTCCCAAATGCCATCACTCTGCTAAACAAATAATTCCTTCAAACTATTCACTAAGTCTGCACTACTATTACTATTAGTCTTCTCATCGTTCCTATCACCCTTTCACTTATGACTGTATGACTGTAACTTTGTTGCTTGTATCCTTACGATTTATATTGATATTGTTTCCTGATTGCTTATTTGTACCCTATGACTATCATTAAGTGTTGTACCTTATGATTCTTGATGAACGTATCTTTTCTTTTATGTATACTGAGAGCATATGCACTAATACAAATTCCTGGTGTGTCCAATCAAACTTGGCCAATAAACAAATTCTATTCTATTCTATTCTATTCTATTCTATTCTATTCTATTCTATTCTATTCTATTCTATTCTATTCTATTCTATTCTATTCTATTCTATTCTATTCTATTCTATACCTTTCTGGTCAAAAGGTCCCCATGTAGCTAAGCCTTGGTGAGTGAACAGATGCAGCGGGTAACTTTTGCTGCCAACAACTGAGGTTCACATGTCCTACACAATCTCTGCATCACCCACGTAGCAGATCAGACTCATCACATGATCAAGGACAGAAAGGAGCATCTCCATACATTGGAATATGGACTGGGGGAAACCAGGCTTAATAGCAGTGACTGTGAGAGGGATCTTGGAATCTTAGTGGACAACCAGCTAAATATGAGCCAGCAGTATGCGGCAGCAGCCAAAAAAGCCAATGCCATTTTAAGTTGCATTCACAGAGGGATACAATCAAGATCAAGTGAGGTATTAGTACTACTCTATAAAGCAGTGGTGAAATCCTAATTTTTTTACTACCTGTTCTGTGGGCGTGGCTTGGTGAGTGTGGTGTGGCTTGGGGGGCATGGCAGAGGAAGGATACTGCAAAATCTCCATTCCCACCCCCTCCAGTGGAAGGATACTGCAAAATCCCCATTCCCTCCCCAGTCCTGGGAGAAGGATATTGCAAAATCCCTATTCCTACCCCACTCTGGGGCCAGCCAGAGGTGGTATTTGCTGGTTCTCCAAACTACTCAAACTTTCTGCTACTGGTTCTCTGGGACCTGTCAGAACCTGCTGGATTTCACCCCTGCTATAAAGCCTTAGTAAGACTACACCTAGAGTACTGCATCCAGTTTTGGTCATCAAGCTATAAAAAGTGTGCAGAAAAAGTGCAGAGAAGAGCAACCAAGATGATCAGGGGGCTGAAGGCTAAAACATATGAAGAAAGGTTGCAGGAACTGGGCATGGCTAGTCTAGTGAAGAGAAGGACCAGGGGAAACATGAGAGCAGTGTTCCAATATTTGTGGGGTTGCCACAGAAAGGAAGGATCAAGCTATTTTCCAAAGCTCCTGAAAGCCAGACAAGGAATAATGGATGGAAACTGAACAAAGAGAGAGTCATCCTGGAAATAAGGAGACACTTTCTGACAGTGAGAGCAATCAACCAACGGAACAGAAGTTGCCTTCGGAAGTTGTGGGAGCTTCATCCCTGGAAGCTTTCAAGAAGAGACTGGACTGGCATCTGTCAAAAATGGTGTAGAGTCTGATGGGCACTGGAACCTTTGTTCACCTATATTCATCACATCCTATTTGATTGTTGCCTATATAAGAGGGTGAGAGGCAGGTACCTTGGTCTATATACTAAACAAATGATCCATTGGGAACCCTATATCAAAACAACTTACTGTATTTGCAGCTAGAATTTGAAAACAACATTTAATACAGCACAGTACTTTTAACATTTAATACACACAGTACAGCAAAATGGTTCGGTTGAAATTGGCATATGCGGGACTGATTGGGGTAGATTGTAGGGGTGACACAGAAATATAATTTTATCATATTTTATTTATCCATATATTAAATTCTTGTATTTTATTCCAATTTCATTTTAAGCTGTATTTTATTCCAATTTCAAATTGTATTTTATTACAATTCTATTTTAAATTGTTTTTATCGGTTTTTAGTAATAATTTGTGTTTGGAACTCTGCACTTTGATATGGCCCATGGGTTAATCAATAAAGTACACTAACTACATGCTATTATCCTTTTTTGAAAGAAAGATTCTTCAGTGGCAAAAAAAAGAAGAAGAAGAAGTCACAAAGCTTAGGCATTGTTTCTAAGCCATTTTATGGCAGGGAGACAAAAGAAATATCTAGGTAATTTATGGATAGAACAGTCATTCTGGTTTTTTAATATCTACTCTGTCTCTTCAGATTTATTTGGAGATTAAGAATTTACAAAAAGGAATTAAGTTTGCTTCAGCTTCATACCTGTGGAATTTTGTAGATGCCCAAGAATGTAGAAATGTGACCAAAGAGTTCAGAATCTGTCTCTTCAAGGACTGCCAGCAGGTTCTTTTGTCTTCCACATCTGTAGTTTGGGACATTCTCCTGTCCTGTAGATAGCAAGTCCATCATGGCCTCATAGGTCATTCTTGCAGTGAAGAAGTTTTGATAGATGTTGTACCCCAGAGTGATGTTGGGTAACACCTTTGGGCTCTGGTTGATCTCATGAACAGATAAGAAGAAGGGCAAGATATGGTAGAAGCTTGTCTTCATACTGCAACATAACAGATATCACATCATCCGACTGGATTTTCTTCTTCAGTTCAATAAAATCATATTTACTGGGGATTTATATTTCTATATCGCAACGCATAAAATATTATTAGATGCTCATTGTTAATTTTTAAAATTATTTTATTGGTTTTAAAGTAGTGACAATAAAAATAAAAAAAAATACCATGATAAAAATATATATCAACAAAGTAAAAAAAATACCCCACACATAAAAAGTGCTTTATAAAAAAATGAAAAAGAGAACAAAACACACACATACCGTGTTTTGTTTTGGAAAAATATTTTACAAATCAAACAACCCTATAAAATTTTTCTTCGAATAATATTTATTTTGATAGCATTCACCTTTCTCCACGAGGTAAGTTATAATGACCCACATCTATCAATATTGAAAGAAACCTTTCTAAATATTTATGGAACTGATATTTCTTAAATGGGCGGGTAAACAAATTTTCATGTTGGCATCAATTACTATTTGGAACAGTTTATACAATATCTTTCTAATGACATCTATATTTCATCTATAATATCAGAGTTAGAAGGGGCCTTGGAGGTCTTTTATTCCAACCTCCTGCTTAGGCAGGAAATCCTATAACATTTCAGAAAAATGATTATCCAATCTCTTCTTAAAAATCTCCAATGGTGGAGCACTCACAACTTTTGATGGCAAGCTGTTCCACTAGTTAATTGTATTCACTGTCAGGAAATTTCTCCTAGGTTGGATCTCTCTTTGATTAGTTTCCATCCTTTCCATTTTCTTCCCCATTCCATTCCATTCTATTCTCTTACCCCCAGATGCCAGAACAGACATCCTCACATCATAACCATCCTATCCCTAATCTTCACAGTTCCCCAGAATGCTAAGATGAGGGTGTTACTAAGTGTGAATGAATGTTGTCTTAATAAATATTAATTCCTCCCATTATACCATCCAGGAGAAGACTAAAGTCTGGGTACAAGAACTTGTAAATTCATTCTGACTCGTAGAGTTGCCAGGTGTCCACTATTTGAGTGGACAGTCCGCATTTTTCACATTATGTTCACTATTTTTTTTTCACAAAATAGTGGACATTTTTTTTATTCAAAAGCTTTATGATGAAATGGTACGTAATCTAAAGCTGTACAGTCTAAGAGAATAAGGATAGGAGAATCGCGTTTTGTCTTTTTTTTCATAAGTTAGAATGAGACAAAGATCGAATATTCATTGAACTCGATTCTCTGAAAAAATTAATGATGAGATTAAAATAAAAATATATTATAAAATTATGTACAGTTCACATTTTTAAAATGTATTGTAGCTTGTGTCGACTGACCTAAAATGGCGTCGAGTGATGAGAGTGACAGTGGCGAGATTTCGAATTCTTTAAAACGAAAGAGAGGAGTGTGCAAATACACCAAAGACTGGGAAGCTACTTTTGCATGGATTACCAACAACGAAACCGACAGAACAAATACGACGGCCTACTGTAAATTGTTTGTAAGAAAATATATAATTTAATTGTAATTTTTTTAATTTTTTTACTACTTAACCCCCCCCCCCCCGCTTGTCCGCTATTTTTTGGAAGCAGACCTGGCAACCCTAATTCTGAGCAGAATACATATATGTCTTTGGAGATACTGCCCTATATTAAAAATAAATAAATAAATAAAAATTGATGTGGTACTCCATAGCTAAACCATTTAGCTTCTCACTTTAGGTCTCTATATTCGTTTTTAAAGGTATTCCTTTTATTTAAACCAAATGTGAAGTGGAAGGCACAAAAGGTTGCAAAATAGGTAAAAGGCATTGGGTGGAAGGAAAGGCTGGAAAGAGAACAGGGAAGGATTGAATGCAACATAGAGAAGGAGAGGAGATGGTGAGAAATAAGACTAAGAGTTCCCTCCTTCTCAAAGAGTCTTCAGTGACTTTCTGCAGCAACAAGATAATAATTTTGAGAACAGGCAGAACCTGTTGCCCTCTTACCTGGGCAAGAGTCGTCTTGTCCTGTCTGGAGACTGACCCTTGTAGAAGAACTTACAAGTAAATTTTTATGCTCAGCTTTCATGCGTCATAGGTGACATTTCTCTAAAGCACATTGGAAGTAGCAATGATGACCTGCCTTTCTCATGTTTGTCCTAGCAGACAATCATTTAAATGTGAGCCAGCAGTGTGCAGCAGCTGCCAAAAAAGCCAACACAGTTCTAGGCTGCATAAAACGAGGGATAGACTCAAGATCAAGTGAAGTGTTAATACCACTTTATAATGCCTTGGTAAGGCCACACTTGGAATACTGCATTCAGTTTTGGCTGCCACAATGTAAAAAACATGTTGAGACTCTAGAAAGAGTGCAGAGAAGAGCAACAAAGATGACTAGGGGACTCGAGGATAAAAAGAACGGTTGCTGGAACTGGATAGGTCTAATCTTATGAAAAGAAGGACTAGGGGTGTCCCAATATATCAGGGATTGCCACAAAGAAGAGGGAGTCAAGCTATTCTCCAAAGCACCTGAGGGAAAGACAAGAAGCAATGGGTGGAAACTAATCAAGGAGAGAAGCAGCCTAAAACTAAGGAGAAATTTCCTGACAGTTAGATCAATGAATCAGTGGAACAACTTGCCTCCAGCAGTTGTAAATGCTCCAACATTGGAAGCTTTTAAGAAGAGATTAGATAACTATTTGTCCAAAGCGGTGTAGGGTTTCCTGCCTAAGCAAAGGGTTGAACTAGAAGACCTCCAAGGTCCCTTCCAACTCTGTTATTCTATTCTAAATTTGAGGAATTGGTAAAAAAAGACATCATTCCTCTAAAATGACATTGAAGCAAGTAAAATTAACCCCCAGAAATCTGAATATGCTGATAATTACCTTTCCAATCTGTACGGTGGAGACTTGGAAAAATCATATGGGTAAAGATGTGAAAATATTATTGATGTTATTGCAGTAATCAGGTAGTCTCCTGGCTTATAATAATTAAACTCCTTCTTTTCTTCTATTATTGCCTTGAATGGACATTTCATCAGCATCGTGGCACAGGGAATTTATAAGAGAAGCAGAAGCAGAAAGAGATATTTCCAGCAGCAACTTTCGACATACATTAATGCAGAGTCTTCCTATAGTTCCTTTTTTTAAAATTGGATCTCAGAGCTCACAAAAGAAAATAATTGCATTGAAGATGATCCAGCCTGGGTCTGGAGAAGGAATCTGAAGTTTCAGACTGACATAGTCCCTGTCTAATTTCTATTTCCCCCCTCCTTTTTTTTGCTTTGATCGGAAGATGGTCACATTTTCATTTGTTGTATATTCCATGTCTTGTCACATCATTGCTTTATAACTAAAAGTGGTGGTGAAAATCCCATAAACCTTGTTCAACGTAGAATAAATAATCATGTTTTAAATAATTAGAAAGGGAATTGGGAATGGCGGTCGCAACTGTGGTGTGCAGTTGGAGATAACAAATTTGCAGGACTCAAGGGCATAATTCCAGTTATGCAGGAAGCAACTGCTTTCTACACTAGAAACTTATTTTTGAGATACTAAAAAGTGCGATTTGCTAAACAAAACAAAACAAAAAACCTTGAAGTCTTATTTACTACCCTGTTTTCCCCAAAATAAGACCTCCCCTGATAATAAGCCCTATTGGGCTTTTGAGTGCACGGCAATAAGGCCAAGTGCTTATTTCAGGGTTCAAAAAAATGTAAGACAGGGTCTTATTTTTGGGGGAAACATGGTAGTTAGTGGGGAGATGATAATTCCTTTTTATTCTGTCTGGTGCTGATGAACCCATTCTTCACATGAAGGCGACATATCAGGGGTGGGTTCTACTTACCTTTACTACTGGTTCGCAACGGGATCGCTTGTACACGTGCCTTGCTTCTGCGCAGATCGCTTCTAATGACGTCAGGGTCAGTGGGCGGAGCCTCCCACCGGTTTTACTACCGGTTCTATAGAACCGGTCCGAACCAGGGGCAACCCACCACTGCGACCTATTTCAGATACCCCCAGATCATCAGACTCTGAAACACAACCACAATCACTCCACGCACACGCGGAAACATATGACAATTTTTCTTTTTCTTTTTTCCCCCCTAATTACTTGCATAGGGATTATTCTTTATACTTTTTATTTTCCCATTGTACTTGGTTAAGGCCCACGTTGGATAGTGAGAGAACATATTCATAAAGGGTAAATCAACAATGAGTTATGGTGAGAAATTATATGGAACATGGAGCTGAATATGACCTGAAAGATGAAAGTGGAGTCATATTTTGACGTCTGCTAGAGGCAAAAATGGTGCAGAAATGTGGATCTTTGTCTTTAATTAATTCAGTTACATTGGGACATATACAGTTATCAAATATGCAAAGAAACATATTTTCGACTATGTTCTTGACTACCCTTAATATCCTCTCTCACTTTTAAAAACATATTTTCTATAGTGTAGTAGTAGTAGTAATTGATTTCAGTTGCAATTTTCATGATTCTACAGCTACAGAACTAGGCAACTGACTTTTTTTCTCAGATGCAGCCCATTGTGAAAAGTGTCCAGATGACCAGTATTCCAATAAGAAGTGAAATCAGTGTGTCCCCAAAAGTATAAGCTTCTTGTCCTATGAAGAAATGATGGGATTCATTCTGGCTTTCATTGCCATTGCCTTGTCCCTAACTATTGCCTTTATTCTGGGAATCTTCATAAAATACCGAGTGTGTGGTTTGGTTCTGCAACCCAACAAAACAGACACAGACTTCAGAGGATAATTAGAACTGCAGAAAAAACAATTACTACCAACCTGCCTTCCATTGAGGACCTGTATACTGCACGAGTCAAAAAGAGGGTTGTGAAAATATTTACAGACCCCTCGCATCCTGGACATAAACTGTTTCAACTCCTACCCTCAAAGCGACGCTATAGAGCACTTCACACCAAGACAACTAGACACAAGAACAGTTTTTTCCCGAACGTTATCACTCTGCTAAACAAATAATTCCCTCAACACTGTCAAACACTGTTTACTAGGTCTGCATTACTATTAATCTTCTCATCGTTCCTATCACCCATCTCCTCCCACTTATGACTGTATGACTTTAACCTTATTGCTGGTATCCTTAAGATTTATATTGACTCTTTCCCTATGACTATCATTAAGTGTAGTACCTTATGATTCTTGACAAATGTATCTTTTCTTTTATGTACACCAAGAGTGTATGCACCAAAGACAAATTCCTTGTGAGTCCAATCACACTTGGCCAATAAAGAATTCTATTCTATTCTATTCTAAACTCCCATAGTCAAAGCTAACAACCGGGACCTCACCTTCACTCTCCTGATCTCCCTCTTGCTTGCTTTCCTAACCTCCCTTCTGTTTATTGGTCATCCCAAGAAAGTGACTTGCCTTCTTTGGCAAGTAACCTTCAGTTTTGTTTTCTCAGTTGCCGTCTCTTCCTTGCTGGCAAAGACTATTATGGTGGTAGTTGCATTTTTGGCCACGAAGCCAGGAAGCAGGATGAGAAAATGGTTAGGGAAAACTCTGGCCAACTCCATTGTCTTCTCCTGTTCTGGGTTTCAAGTGGGAATCTGCATGATATGGCTAGGAATTTCACCCCCATTCCCAGATTCTGACTTTCATTCCCAAACAAGACACATCCTGTTGCAATGCAACGAAGGCTCAGTCTCCATGTTCTATTCTGTCCGTGGCTATATGGGCTTTTTGGCTGCGATCTGTTTCGTGGTGGCTTTCTTGGCCCGAAAGCTTCTAGGGACTTTCAATGAAGCCAAGTGGATCACCTTCAGCATGCTGGTCTTCTGCAGTGTTTGGATCTCCTTTGTCCCCGCATACCTGAGCACCAAAGGGAAATACATGGTGGCCGTGCAGATCTTCTCCATCCTGACCTCTAGCCTGGGTTTACTGGTCTGCATCTTTGTCCCCAAATGCTACATCATTATTCTAAGGTCTGAATTGAACACCAAGGAACATCTAATGCAAAAAAAGAATGAGGGCTCCCAATTTTAGAAAAATTTATGCATTATAACATAATATACCTTGGTGGTAATCTTCTTTTTAGATATTCAAAACAATCTTTGTCTGTCAACGTGGGTTCTGAATTATAATGAGTAGCTACAGATAGTCCTCCATTAGCAACCACATATACAACAACTATTCAAATTTGGGATTGTGTTGAACAAGTTACCACTTGTTCCACTTCCTAGAACTTATGACTGGTTGTCAAAATCAGTGGTCCCCAACCATTCCAGCTTGGCAGCCTAGCCTGGCGCAGGGAGGGGTATGTGAGTGGCAGATGCACGTGTGTGTACACAGCTCTATTTGTGCAAGTGGCGCTCATGTGTGACCTCCACTCACACAAATGCTGCTTGCACTCATGCATGCAGCCCCACTTACACAAGCAGAGGGTGCTTGAGCTTGCACATGAAGCTCCACTTGCATAAGCACAAGCACCATTTGCTCATGGGAGTGGAATTTCATGTGCGAGCAAAAGCATCCTCTGCTCACGTGAGTGAAGCTTCATGTGCTCATGCTTGCCCATCTCTCCCACGGACCAATAATTGGAATTCCAGTAAGCCCACAGTGACATGATTACAATCTGGTTGCTAGGCAAGTAGTTCTCCCTTACCATGGTTGCAACATCCTGCAGTCCCATGATAACCATTAGCAAGCTTCCCTACTGGCTTTCCATAAGCAAAGTCAATAGGGCAGATGCCAGGGTAGCTTCCAAGTTAGTCTCACCACATTTTCCCCCAAGACGTTTCACTATGGAATACAAAATCCACAGATCTTGGACTCCATAGTGTACACTTGGGATGCAGCATCCCATTATTTGCCCAGTTGCACTTGTGCCTCAAAGCAGCACTCCTTCCCCAGCTCACATGCACTTGCATTGTGCCACAGCAACCTGTCCTCAGCCTGCATGCACTCATGCTTCACTTCACCACTTTTTCCCCAGCTGGCACAAATATTCCTATCCCACCTCACTTCGTAGCACTCAATCACTCACCTGCCTGCTCACAAGCCATGCAGGACTTATGAGTTTCCGCCAGCTTCTTGCAAGAAGTTACAAGTTGCTGTCATTTGAGTTCTTTCCTTAATAACTGACAATTCTCCCTTAACAACAGCAATGAATACTGCTAAGATTGCCTTCACTAAGCAATTTAATCACAGGACATAATACATGATGATCACATCACTTAGAGACAGAAAATCTGGCCCAATTGCTATTGTTAAGCAATAACTACCTATAATGAGACTGAGGAAGTAATCTTCAGAATTCATCTTCTTTGAAACAATTGCATTAAAAGCACATGGTGAACTTATATAAATTGTCTGAAACCAGTGCAGACAAACTGTCACTGGGAAATTTTCATCAGCTAGTTTTTAGATGAGTTGAACATCTGTTACTAATGATGATGACTATGATGATTCTCAGTCATCCAGTTCACAGTTTTCCCTAAGGTGCTTTTTCAAGAGGCAACTGGACTTTCTGGTTTTTCTTTGAAATTTTGCTTCTCACCCAAGAAGCTTCTTCAGCTTTGATCTGAATCTGATCTCATAGCCAAAAACATCTGTTCTCCTTTGTTATTCTCACAGTAAACAAGAGAAATCCTACATCCAAGTTAAGCCAAACTGTACATAAATACTGTACATACATACATACATACTTCATATACCTGGGAACCAAAAATGTGTGACTCTTGCAAAGGAATGGCAGGATTTTCCTGATGTGTTGTGAGACAATCTTCTGATGGACATGGTGTGTATGGGACACCACAAAGTTAGAGAATAGAATAGAATAGAATAGAATAGAATAGAATAGAATAGAATAGAATAGAATAGAATAGAATAGAATAGAATAGAATAGAATAGAATAGAATAACAGAGTTGGAAGGGACCTTGGAGGTTTTCTAGTCCAACCCCCTACTTAGGCAGGAAACCGTATACCATTTTATTCTTGTTGAGTTCATGCTTGTTGAGTGCTGGGTTCTGGACACTTTGACTTGGTAAACAGTTGGAGGGAGGAAATGTTTCTCATCTTTGCAGATAACCTAGAAGTAGCTAGGATAGATTCGACACTACAATGACAGAAATCAAAATTAGGACAATCTAGAATCCTGATTTAGCATAATGAGTGAAACCGATCAGTATATGAATAAAAATACACTGCAATTGCTTTGCTTTTCCAATGCTTTCTCAATATCCAAAGAGAGATAGTGGAAAAGGCAGAGGTAATGGCACTGAGAGACCATTACCAAGACAAGTTCAGATAAAAGTAGTACTTATTTATATGATATAGCTTTCCTAATCTGTAATACACCGAAAGGCTGACTGACAAAAAGACAAAGACAAAGAAAAGACACATGCACAAAAACAAATTTATATATTTATAGGTAAGGGTTTAGATGGGAATAGGTAAAGATTTCCCCTGTCAGTCATGACCAACCCAAGGGGAGGCGCTCATCTTTGATTCACAAATGAAGAGCCTTTATCTGAAGATGCTTCCATAGTCATGTGGCTGGCATGACTATGCACTGAAGATGCACGGAACATTGTTACATTCCCACTGAAATGGTACCTATTTATCTATTTGCATTTACATGCTTTTGAATTGTTAGGTTGGGAGGGCACACACACAGACAAACAGACACTGTATGTACAGTATCTGGAAATGGAAATGGAAATGGAAATGGATATTGATATGGATCTGGACATGTATAAAAAACAGGAGCCAATTTTAATACACATAAGCACACCTTCATTGTCACATTAGGTGTCTACATGATTTCCCCCCCAAATCATGCAGAGTTGTACATATTTTTCTTTTGATTGAAGACTGTCAAAAATAATAATTTGTCTCATTAATTTATTCAAAGGAATGGAGAAAGAAATTAAACTTGCTCCAATGTTCATGTTGATATTTTATCTATTCTTAATATATAGAATGTTATCTGTCTCTCTGTTTTTCTCTTTCCCGATCTCTCCCATCTGTCTATCTCATTTATCTATCTTTGAGTGATCTTACATTATCCAGCCAGAAGAGATCAATCAAATATATATTTGAAATTAACTATTTTTTTTAAATAAAGTCAGAACATCACCCCAGAAAGTAACATATAACACCAGCACACCAACCTATATAGTAACAAAACACATATCATCATTAGCCATAGTCTTTAATTTAATCTAAAACCATATCAGAACATCTCTGGTCACAGTTTATCTGGCCTGTTTCAGAAATTTTATTAATATCATAATATGAATTCAGATTAGGACAATTGAAGGATATGATTATTTCAAATAGTTTGAGTTGTTTTAGCAACTTTACTACTCAATTATTATAATTCAAAATTCACATGGAATGAAGAAGGAGAAGTGACAACACATAAAACATTACTTCAAAGTATGTGATTTCATGTTGCATGTAAACTGTACAAAAATAAACACCAACACAAGGAGACTTAATGATTTTTTATCATGAGATGTTCTTTGGTGTTCATGTCAGGTCTGAGGATAATAATGTAGCATTTGGGAATAAAGATGCAGCCCAGTAAACCCAGGCCAGAGGCCAGGATGGAGAAGATCTGCACGGCTACCATGTATTTCCCCTTGGTGCTCAGGTATGTGGGAACAAAGGAGATCCAAACGCTACAAAAAACCAACATGCTGAAGGTGATCAGTTTGGCTTCGTTAAAGGCCCCTGGCAGATTTCGAGCCAGAAATGCCACCAAGAAACAGATGGCAGCCAAAAAACCCATGTAGCCAAGAGCAGAGTAGAACATGGTGACAGAGCCTTCATTGCACTGCAGCAGGATGTGTTCTGGTTGGGAATGAAAGTCAGAATCTGGGAATGGGGGAAAGACTCCCAGCCACATCATACAGAGGCCTACTTGAATACCAGAGCAGGATAAAACAATAGAGTTGGCCAGACTCTTCCCCAGCCATTTCCTCATGCTGCTGCCTGGCTTTGTGGCCAGAAAGGCCACCACCACCATGACAGTCTTGGCCAGCAAAGAAGATACAGCAACTGAGAAAACAATACTGAAAATGGTTTGTCGAAGGAGACAGGTCATTTTCACGGGGCGACCGATGAATAGAAGGGAGGTCAAGAAAGAAAGCAGGAGTGAAACCAGGAGGATGTAGGTGAGTTCACAGTTGTTGGCTTTGACTATGGGAGTGTCTCGGTATTTCATGAAGATTCCCAGAATAAAGGCGGTGGTTAGGGACAAAGTGATGGCAAAGAAAGCCAGGATGAGTCCCAACAATTCTTGATAGGATAAGAAGCTTATATTTTTGGGGACACACTGATCTCGCTTCTTATTGGAATACTGGTCATCTGAACACTTTTCACAATGGGCTGCATCTGAGAAAAAACAATAGTTAGATGAATCTGTTTCTGCAGCTTTAGGAGCGTGAAAACCGCATCAGAAATCAATTACTTCATTTTCAAGGAATAATATAATATTTCTCCCCAGAGATATCCATACAACACAACATTAGTTAAAATAATCAAACCGTTTTTTTAAAGGCTGAAGATGAATGTAATTATCAGTTCTCAAAACTTCTTTCCCAAAACAAAGCAAGAAAGTAACAACTCAATACAAATCAGCAACCTTTCATTATATATTTTAATGCTCATATCATCATCCAAATTTGGCAATAGTGCCCTGTCTTTGAAGTTTGTGGATGCCTTCAACAAATGTAATGTTTTTCTTGCTTCTTGATCAAATACCCCCCAAAAAACAAGATAGAATATTGATCGTACCTTTATTTTTATTTTTATTTTTTTGTTATTTTTGGAGCCACCTACAGTACCTTCTTGCTCAGAGAATGTTCCTTCCATACACAGAGAACAGTCGTAGCAGCAAACTGGGGCTTCCTCTCTTACAAGCTTGGCATAACCTGGGGAGCAACTTTCTGTACATCTTGAATAAGGCACCATCTAAACATAAACAGAAAGATTACTCAGGGTAATATATGAATTAGAAAGATTGAGTGAAATTCAGTGGTTTCCAGAAGCTCAAGAGCACATTGAGCAAAATCGGTCAAGAAGTAGTGGCATAAACTTTAATCACTCTACGTGCAAGGGACAAATGAAAGGTCATTCTCTTTCTCTATTAGTCTCCATTGTAGATCCCAAAACAGACTCATTGCCTTATTATTTTTTCCAAAGGAAAGTAGTTCCATTGCAAAAGGTGTTTCTCCTTAGGGCATGTATGACAATGCTATAACTTACCATATTTTTCAGAGTATAAGATGCACTCCCCCCCAAAAAAAAGAGGGTGAAAATTTGAATGCGTCTTATACACCAAATGTAGCCAAAAACTTGAGGCACGGAACAGAAAGGAAAACACAAGCAGAGGAGAGGAGTTTCAGTTTCAGAGATCAGCACAGCATGCAGCTTTAGAACAATTGACCTAAGCTACGCTCAGGCTCCTTCCTTGTTGCTCACACAGCAAATACTGTTTCACTTTCCAAACAGCCCTCAACTCTCTCACACACTGATAGGGCGCTAGCTAGATGAATACTGATGGATGCTGGTAAGTAGAGGCAGATTTTTTTTTCTTATTTTCCTCCCACAAAACTAAGGTGTGCCTTGCTTCTGGTGGCTCCACAATCGCTGATGGATGCTCCTTTAGGAGCTCCAGCCCCGCGATTCCGTTTGCCACTAGAACAGTGAAAATCAGCTGTCTAGCGGCTCGAACCTCTCCCCCTGGGGAAAAGGGGGAGAGAAGAGCAGAGGGGTTTGGGTAGAGCTCCCCTAGACCCCCAGGTTTTTTTTTTTTAAGCCTGGGGTTTGCAGGGTGAGAGCTCCCTGAAAGGTCTTCAGTGCTCCGGATCCGGGACGAGTCTGCTTTATGCAGAACAAGGCATCGCGACCACACCAGCATCAGCAACTTAATTTTAAGGGGAAAAAATTTTGGACTTGAAAGCTGGCAGAGCAAATACAGGAGAAACGAAAATTGTAAGTACTAAACTTTAACTCCAAAATCTATCACTTCCCTCTGAATCTCTGTGGTAGAAAGGGAAAGTAAGATGGCGTGCGACTCTAACGGGGCATGGAAAAGTGAAACTTAGATACAAAGCATTATGTAGTGTTGAAAGCCCCTGTTTAAAAGGAGAAGGATTTAAAAATTATATCTAAGGAAAAAAAAATGGCTGGCTTTTTTGAAAGTGATGAAGGCTCAGAAATGCTGACTGTGGATCTTTTGGAAGAAGTTTTGGAATCATTTGCCTCTGTGTTCATGGAAAGAATTGAAGGGTTTCTTAAGAAGGATTTTATTCAAATCCCAAACAAGGATATAAGTGAAGAGGAAGCGGAAGAAAAAACCCATTTTATTGTGCCTTTGGAAAATGAAATAGAGGCTTTTCAAAGTGAGAGGGAGGAGCAGAGAGGCTTGAAGGAGTGTAACCAGGAAATATTGAGAGATATTCCTCCAGAGGTTTTGATACAGACAAATGGAGAATTGTCAGGAGGTGTTGGGATTTTTTATACAAAAAGGAAGATTTGAAGTGGAACTTTACAACTTTGTTGCAGGGATGGATTCTCAATCACAGTTAAAGAGGTGTTCTTACCGAGAGGAAGAGAACAGGATTGTGGCGGAGGAGTGAGACTGGAGAAGAAAGAAAGAAAGAAGAAAGTTTGTAAAAAAGCCAAAAAAAAAAAATGGAGAAGAGAAAAATTCTCGAAAATAAAAGCAGGGGGAGGAGCAATGCTGAAGAAGAAAGTATTATTGAAGAAGAAGGACTGGAAAAAATATAGAAAGAAAGGAAGAACAGAAGATTAATTTCTTTTGGGGAGGATCTTAATAATAAATCTGAAAAGTTTACTGAAATTAGTATTTTTTAAGACAATGATATAAAGGAAGTGTTTTATTTTATTTAGGTTTGGATATAATTTAAGGGATAGCCTTTTGAGGGTTATATTTTGAAGAATGTCTTATTGAAGTAAAAATGTTTAACTAAAAATGGATAGATTTTTAAAAGTTATTGAGATATTCAAATGGTTAATTTAAAATTTAATGGATAGCTTCCTGAAAGTTTTGAAACTTATATATTGATGAATGAATTTAAGATTTAGAAATAGCTTAACCCAATGGATTAACAGTATCTCTAAGGTTGTATTCTGAAGAATGTTTTATTACAATCAGAAATTGGCAAGTGGTTAATGAATGACCATGTTTATGAATGGCAAGTGGTTTATGAATGTTTAATTTAGAATTTTACTAGGGAGTATGCTGAAAAAGAAGTATGGAAAGGATTTTAGTAATAAATGTGAAATGTGATAAGAGAATTTATAAAAGGAAGGTTGATGAATAACTTTTAAAAGGGGAGTTAAAAGAACGTGAGGGAGTTTTGGATCTTCTAGTAAATTAGCATATTTTAGTTTAGGTTTGTTAAATGTTATACCCTATTTTGCTCTGGGAAGTCGGGTGTGTGTGGGGAGGGGGGGTTGAAGGTTGTTGGGGTTGAAATTGTTGTAAAATTTTTAATAAAATAAAAAGATAGATAAGTGTACTAATAGAGAAGTAAGAAATGTGGGGGAAATGTTATAATAAATGAAATGATAATATTAGGATATGATAAATATTGTAGGAGTAAGAAGAAGACACAAAAGATGTACTTAGATGATACATTGAATGATTGTTTATGTATTGTTTGCTTGTTTGTTTATAAAATAAAAACTTCTTTTATATATATATATATAAAACTAAGGTGCGCCTTATACTCCGGAGCATTTTATACTCTGAAAAATATGGTATATATTTTTTTTCTCCATCTTTGCTTTCTCAGGAAACCTCCAACATCTAGCTTTCTCTAGAGTCCCTATCTTTCTCTCCTACAACTGATCATTGTATCATCATATGTAAATGACTTTTTTAGCTGCCCACATTTCCGTCACCACATTCTTAGTGATATCTTTCTCTTATGCAATTCAGTGGGCTAAACCCTTCATATTCTGGATTTTCTCCCATAGATGCTTTTTCAAAAGACAACTGATCTTTGTTTTCCCTTGAAGATGTTTCTCTTCTCATTCCAGAAGCTTCTTCAGTTTTGACTGAATGGTGAAGTATGGAAGGATTTATATTCCTTACAGTCATCTGGTTGTTAGCTGTTGTGGCCCCGCCCTCTGAGCCTGTCCCATCGGAGGAAGAAAGCTCCGAGCATGAGGAAGAGGAGTCAGCCAAGCCTCCCTCTCCAGGCCCCTCCCCTCTGGCACTGTCTCAGGTGCCGGCCGAGGGAGAGGAGATTAGCAGGGAGACAGGTGTCTCGGATGAGAGTGAAGGAGAGACATCATTCCTGGACGCATGCCTCCGAAGGCGTGATAAACAGCAGCAGCTCAGGAGGCGTGCTAGGGATTAGAACTGGACCACACTATATAATAGAGGGTGGTGGCCAGTGATCCCTGTGACGAACAAAAATAAACCTTGGATAGTCACTAAAGCATTGTCCGAAACTGCAGAGAGGAATATTATTTTCTGTTGGACTCTTGTACGCTGAGTATATTATCTTTCTGTTTCTGTGGAAATAAAAGCACTTGGCAGATGGTGTGTATATCGCTGCCAAGTTGGAGATAAAGACCTGGGTGTGTGCCAAGTGCTTCCTTAACCCTCGGCTGGCTGTGTTTGTGTGTGTGTGTGGACGGGGACAGATCAGTTAGCAGTCTTTCTGAAAGTTGTTGAGGCCACTTGGAATTTATCTCTGCCCTCAGGGTGACATGAATCGTGCAAATGGGTGTGGAATCTTCTTGCAATTGCTGAATCTATATCCTGTTTACAACACAGTCTTTTCAGCATTTCCAAATCTTTCCATCCTCCACCCTTCAGTCAGAACTAAAGAAGCTTCTTGGATGAGAAGTGAAACATCTTCAAGGGAAAACAAAGTCCAAGTGCCTTTTGAAAAAGCCCCTTTGGCACAACCGTGACCTGGATGACTGAGAATCTCCATAGACATTCTGGATTTTCTCTTACTGAAAAGAAGATAATTTGATGTACTATAAATTATGGCAATGTATTCCAGTTTAATAATGTAGATTGCAAATCCCTCAATACAATGCAGCAGGTTCCATTGTGTGATAGATTATTGTAAAACCTCTAAAGTAAAATGATATCTAATGAATTAATGAGGCTTTAAGTTCTCTTATTTGGAAGTTATCTCAATTGGCCTCAATAAGAATTACTTCTGAGCAGATGGAGATAAATAGAAGAGCAAAATCCAAGCAGCCTCAAGTACTTTGTTAAATAAAGTTGGCCATTGGACAGCACTTTGATTGACAGAAATCTTGACTTCCAAGGAGGCTTGTCTTTCTACAGTCCCAATTTTCACCGCCGCATCTGATTTGTTCAAAACTGATGTCCACTGCATGATATCAAAGTCACCAACAGGAACTCCATTTTCATCAAAAGAAATCCCATCGTTGGAAATATTGTGATGTTGGAAGTTTCTCAGGAACCTATGAAACTGCAGAAACATAGAAAAAACATGACAATTTGAGCCTTTATTTAATGTTTTTCTTGCCAATAATCTGCATTGGAGGGACTCTGAATAATTCAACTTCTTCAAATCACCAGTGCAGTCAGAAACAGATCAATTTAGCATTTCATGGGAAGCTTCTTTCAGACATTCTCCAGGAATTTACAGCTCTTTTTCAAATATTAATAGAATAGAGTAGAGTAGAGTAGAGTAGAGTAGAGTAGAGTAGAGTAGAGTAGAGTAGAATAACAGTTAAAAGGGACTTTGGAGGTCAAATATTTATCTCACTTATCTTGAAAACATGGAGTAGATTACACCACCACCATCAGGTGGCTTTTTCACTGTCTGACGATTATATTCAACATGTAGTCCTCTGGGGAACCTCATCCACATGGTGGGAAGTAAGCAATGGGGTACCCCAAGCTTCCATTTTAGGCCCAGCACTCTTCAATATCTTCAAAAAAGTTCTAGATGAGGGAATTGAAGGGGAACTCATCAAATTTGCAGATGACACTAAGCTGGCAGGAACAGCCAACACTCCAGAAGACAAGCTCAAGATCCAAAAAAAATATTGGCAAGTTGAATATGGGCCCCTACCTAACAAAATGAAATTCAACATAGATAAAAGTAAGGTTTTACACTTAGGCAAGGAAAACCAACGGTATAGGTACAGACTATGTGAAATTTGGCTTAATGCCAGCAACCGTGAGAAGGATCTTGGAGTCCTAGTGGACAATCACTTAAATATGAGCCAACAATGTGTGGCAGCAGGCAAAATTGCCACTGTAATCCTAGGCTGTGTTAATAAAGGGATAGAATCAAGATCACATGAAGTTCTAATATCACTTTACAAAGCCTTAGTGAGACCACATTTGGAATACTGCATCCAGTTCTGGTCAACCCAATATAGAAAAGATATTGAAACTCTGCAAAGACTGTAGAGATGAGCAACAAAAATGATTAGGGGGCTGGAGGCTAAAACATACCAAGAACAGTTACAGGAATTTGGTGTGTCTAGTCTAAGGAAAAGAAGGACTGGGGAGACATGATATAACTTTTCTAATATTTGAGGGGCTTCTACAAAGATGAGGGGGTCAAAACATTTCCCAAAGCACCAATAGGGAAGACAAGAAACAATGGTTGGAAACTAATGAAGGAGACAAGCAACCTAGAACTAAAGAGAAATGTTGTTACAGTGAGAGCAATCAACCAATGGAATAGCTTGCCTTCAGAAGTTGTGAGTGCTCCATCATTGAAGGCTTTCAAAAAGAGACCTGGTCAACCATTTGTCTGAAATAGAATAGGGTCTCCTGCTTGATTAGTGGGTTGGACTACCTCTGAGATCCTTTCAAAATCTTATTATTCTATGTTTTATATTCTATATTTTCTTGCTTCACTATTACAGCTCCATCTGAGGCAAGACCATTTGCAGATATGGGAAAACTTGTAATGGGAGAAGAGGGAGAATACAATTTTGCCATTAGTCCTGATCAAGATGAAGTTAGCGGAGTTTAACTTTGGGCTAGGAATGTAACAAAAATTGCATAGTGGTGTTATCTCTTTCAAAGTATAGCTATATCTATATATCTATAGTTCTGTAAAAATGTTGTTCATCTTTTTTCAACTTTATTATCTACATACTATAGATGTACTTTCATGGACCACTGAGAGGAGGAAATGGCTCACATGCTTTGCTCAAGAGTGTGATAGGCAACAGGCTTTTAAGGGGCTGCCAGAAAGAAGTGGGGGGTGTATTTTGCAAAGCACCAGAAGGCAAAACAAGAAGCAATGGATGGAAACTGAACAAAGAGACAAGTAACCTAAAACTAAGGAGAAACTTACTGACAGTGAGAACCAATATAGGTGCAGAAATATTTCAGTCATAATTTCACATACAAAATAGCCATTCGTGTAATACAACCTGCATATTGTTCAAAACAGTCATTAGTATTATGGCTGATGTTTGACAGCAAGCCTAAAAGTCAAAGATCACAAGAGTGTTTCTTTCTCTGTATGTATACAAAACATCACATACCAGGAATAGCATATTAAGATGGACTTATATAACTTGATGTACAAAATAAACACACACATATTTATGCTCTGGACTATAGACATTGAATACATGTAAATCCCTAAAAAATATGTGGTAGCCCTGGACAAAAGAAAGGCAGTAAAATCACTCTAGGTATAGGGACAGTGTAAAATATTAACACATGATAAATAATGGAATAATTAAAAATAATAGCACAGAGTTCTCTCTCTCTCTCTCTCCCTTTCTTCCTCTTTCTTCCTCTTCTATCTCTCTCTCTCTCCTTTCCTCTTTTTTCTTTCTCTTTCTGTCTCTTTCTTTCTTTTTTCTTCTCTCTCTCTCTCTCTCTCTCTCTCACACACACACACTCTCTCTCTCTCCCTTCCTTCTTTTTTTATTTCTCTCTCTCTTTTTGTCTCTCTTTTTTCTTTCTTTCTTTCTTTCTTTCTTTCTTTCTTTCTTTCTTTCTTTCTTTCTTTCTTTCTTTCTTTCTTTCTTTCTTTTCTCTCTCTCTCTCTCTCACGTTTTAGAAATCACATCTAAAGGACCTCTAGAAGTCTTGTTCAAAACTGATTGTACTCCGTGACAAAAGCTTTAGCTCATTTGTTAACTTGACTATAAATCTTCCCATTTAGAGAATTTAGGTTTTTTTTTTAAAGAATGTGGAAATGAGCAAAACAATAAAGTAGAGAAAGAAAGAAAGAAAGGAAGGAAGGAAGAAAGAAAGAAAGAAAGAAAGGTGTTCAGTTCTTAATATTTGAATGTATCTTTTTAATAAACATTCTAGTAATAATGTTTTAGAATATTTCCCCTCTCCCTCCCTCCCACCGTCCCTTCCTAAAAGTTATTTGGGGCCACATACAATTCTTCCTTCCTTCCTTCCTCCCCTCTCATTCCCCTCTCCTTCCATCCATCTCATTCCCAGCTCCCTCCCTCCCTCCCTCCCTCCCTCCCATTCCCTATTGCAGTATATTATGTGCCATTCAGCAAAAGTCTTAATACTTTGGCTTTGAATAATCGTATTGTTACGGTTAGGATTTTATGTTATAAATATTACAAGTAGTATTAAATGCTTGCCATCACCTGGGGGAGGGGGATGGACAGAGACATTCTTTTTACAACCTATTCACCCAAAGGCGGGAGGGGGCTGCCCGGCCAAGGAAGCTTCACAACCATGGAAAAAGCTGCTGCCATCACTGCCATGTTCTTCGTGCATGCGCATCCTATTGGACTTACAAAACAATGGGATGCACCTGCGTGAAGAACATAGCGGTGACGAACATAGCAGCGGGGGTGAGCAAGCGGCGACCAGGGGACCAGTTCGGAGGTGTGGCCAGCCACCCATTACTACCGGTTCTGTGACTTATGGCAAATTTTTACTACTGTTTCTCCCAAACCGGTGCAAACTGGGAGCAACCCACCACTGATCTCTCTCTAACTCACCATCAGGGTTCCAAGTAATACACCCATAGCAAACAGGACTCTGAGGCAAGCAGGTTCCTCAAATATCAGTTTTATTGGGCATATCATATAGGCATAGGCTGGTGAAAACTGACTCTAAATGTTCCCACAGTTTTCACCTAATTAAAAGTAAAAAATTTCCTCCCCTTTACAAACAATCTGTCACATGGTCCAATCAAGGTGTCATCCAGTTGCCTGGTGACTTCACTCATCCCCCCTCTGGCCATCGGTGGGAATGTCCTTGGTTCCCAGGACAAAATATTTTGGCTACAAAACCCAGGCTATCTCTCTCTTTTTTTTAAAAAAAAAAAAAATCTTTTATTGAGTATTTTACATTTTTAAAACCAAACACACAATAGCAAAAGAAACCAAGAGGAAAAAAAAACAAAAACACATACACTTACATCAAATGTTAAATACAATACGAACAACAGATATATACAATTTTACAACTTTCTGCATCGACTTTTGTCTTTACTCTTAACTTTTATCTTCCCACTCCTTCTCTTTATTTTTAAATATTCATAGTTCAATGTTTTGTAAGCAGGATCATTATTTACATTTATGTCCTGTATGTTAATATCAAATTTCACTTTATATTCTTATTTCTTAATTTGATATCTGTTTTCTAACCTATTTCATACTTTGTAATAATCCGAGTCTTCTCTTTCTTTGATCTCCATCATTAAATTATCCATTTCGGCGCATTTGAGGATTTTTATTATTGTTTCTTCTGATGGTGTATTGGTCGACTTCCACATTTGCACTAGAGTAGTTTTGGCCACTATTAGAATATTCAATATAATATAATATAATTCCATTTTTCTATCTATCATTCATAGGCGGAACATCTCCGGTTTAAAATCCATCTTTTGGAGTGTAATCTCTTCCAACCACCCTTTAATTTTATACCAAAATTTCCTCACCTTAGGGCACATCCACCACATGTGGTAGTATGTCCCTAGTTTGTGACCGCATCTCCAACATTGGGGTGATAGGTTGGGGTACATTTTTGCCAATCTCTCTGGTGCTAAATGCCACCTATAAAACAGCTGTTTTACAGCTGTTTTCTTTGTATGATACTGCTATGGTCAATTTATAATTTTTCCCCACAATTTTTCCCATTTATCCAATTCTATGGTAAGTCCGAAATTCCTAGCCCAACTTATAATCGTTTCTTTTACTGTTTCTTCTTCCAAATTGTATCCTAATAGGTAATTATAAATATTTGTAATCATTTTTCTACCCGATCCTAATATTAACTTATCTAATTCAAATCGTTTCCTGATTATGCCAAATTGTTTCCTATCTTTTTATATCTAGTTTTGATTTGTAAATATGGCCATTATTCTAAATTTATTCCTTGTTTTTTCAGATCTTGTACTGATTTTAATTCTCCTTTATTATCCTTTAATTCTCCAATTTAAATTCTAAATTTAATTCTCCTGGCCTCAGTCAGGGTAGCTTCAGGGTTGACACTCACTTTCAAATACCACAAACTGGGCAACTGTTCTTTGGAATATCTGACCCCTTTCTACATCTAATTTAATATTGAGGAATTGGAAGGGGAGAATCAATGGAACCTCAAAGGAGGAGACTTACCTGCCATGGCTGTACAATCTGGGGTGGTTGCATTCTCCTCTTACTCCGTTGGGAGGAAGAGGCAGCACTGAGGACCCAGGCCACAATTTGAATTATTTGGGAAATACTGGAGGAATCCTGAGACAGGATTCTTGCAATCACATCAGGGGGTGGGAATTCCCAATTCTCTTTTTCTCTGCATTTTTTCCAAACTTTCTTAGATAACACAGGACTTGAATAAGAACATTGGAATGCTTCCTTTCCATAGAATAAGACCATGGATGCATAAGAATTAAAGTCATCATACTGAGTCCTTCTCTTTGTCTGGATGAGGAAGGAAAACAAAGCATATTTATTTTGGAGATCAACCCAAAGGTCAAAAATACTTATACTTAAAACTGTCAAAGTTGTTGCAATCCACACCCTTCCCACAATGGCTGTATTAGTCCTATCAATGGTTTGTATTATTGCTGCTAACATTCCTGAGGCCTGAAAATCCATTTGGCATACTATAATTTTTATTTGACTCTTGATAAGAGAAAGTAACATTGCAGCTCTTATCTGCACATTTGCTTCTGGGATGGTTCCTGAGAGGACAATGCAAATCCCATTTTTTAGAGCAAGAACTTCCAAACGTCTTTTGAATTTTTCTCCTTTTTCATTGTCCCGAGAAAGAAGGCCAATCCACGTCCATTGGAACTGCAGGAGCAGCTTGACGATTGCTGAATAAGGAGGTTCTTGGTTTGGGGTCATCCGATATGAAAAAGGAAAACCATGATTTTTCTCAGCCATCTGGTTGATGACATTATAGTTGATCTAAGATGAAAGAGAAGGTATTGGTAATTTTTGCCAGCTTTAATGATAAAAGTCAGATGGTAAATCTAAGGGCCTTTAAACACTGCTGAGAGACACTTCAAAAAATAACTACATGAATTTTGCTAGTTCCCTTGATGTTCTGTCCTGTTGTCTTGTATGCTCCCTTTGAAACCAGCGAGCTCTGAATTATCTGTGGGTGATGTTCATTGGTGGTCCTCACAGAGCACACCCTTCTGGTCACATTATAACTCTGTGGGTCTCCCATCCACTCAGTCAATTAGTCAATCAGAATAGAGTTGGTCCAACCTTCTAGTCCAATCACCTGCTAGTCCAGGGGTATCAAACTCAAGGCCCGAGGACTGGATCTGGCTTGCAGGGTGCTAAGATCTGGCTCACAGGACCACCCTGGAAATAGCAAAGGATAGGCCTGCAGTGCCTCTGCCAGTGAAGATGGAGCTAGAGAGGGCCACGAATGGCCCTCCCAAGCTCTGTTTTGGCAGACAGAGGGTTGCAGGAGGCTGTCCTAGCCAAAAATAGAGCTTGCGAGTGCCATGCGTGGGCCCCTGAGCTCCTTTTTCACTAGCAGAGGGTTGTAGGAGGCCGTCCCAGCCAAAAATGGAGCTCAGAAGCCTGTTTTCACTGGCAGAGCATTCGGGCCACCACAGGTGCCCCTGACACAAGTGATGCCATGCTGGCCACACTCACCTTGGCCACGCCTACCCCCATGGTCAAACACAACCCTGATACAGCCCTCAATGAAATCGAGTGACACCCCTGTCCCAGTCCAAGTGCCTGCTCAAGCAGGAGACCAAACACCATTTCACACAAGTGACTGTCCAGTCTCTTCTTAAAATACCCCAGTGATGAAGCACCCACAACTTCTGAAGGCAATCTGTTCCAATGGTTAATTGTCCTCAAAGCATTAATTCCAGGTTGCTTCCCTCCTTGATTAGCTTCCATAAATTGCTTCTTGTCTTGCCTTCTGGTGCTTTGGAAAATAAATTGACCTCTTCTTTGTGACAGCATGTCAAATACTGGAATACTGCTATACACTCATTGAATATCTTTTTAAACTGACAAACATATTAATTTCTCATAGATTATTACTGCTTCCTTGATTGTTTTATGTGTTGGGCTTGAAATATTGTTTGTTATATCCACCCCCCCCAGCAATTGTTTAATATTGGTGTATTATTTCATTGTCTTCATTCATATAATTGATTTCAGATAACTCTATATAAACTCTTTAATTGGCTGAATTACTTTCAGACATTTGAAATGCAGAAGTCGGTTTAATAACCTCACTTAAAAAAAAAAAACCAAGAGAACTGGCATTGTGCCAAGTTCCAGTTGAAACTTGGAAAGAATATTATGACATACTTTCTTTTGTGTTGTACACTAATTGTTGTTGTTACTTACGAAGTTGTGTCCAACACATCAGGACCCCATGGACAACTTTCTTCCATGCCCTTCTGTCCTCTACCATCCTCTGGAGTCCATTTAAGCTCATGCCGACTGCTTCAGTCACTCCTTCCAGCCACCTCATTCTCTGTCGTCCCCTTCTTCTTTTGCCCTCAATCTTTCCCAGCATTAGGCTCTTCTCCAGTGAGTCCTTCCTTCACAATAGGTCCCCAAAGTATTTGAGTTTCATCTTCAGGATCTGGCCTTCTAAAGAGAAGTCAGGGTTGATCTCCTCTAGGACTGACCGGTTTGATTGCCTTGCAGTCCAAGGGACTCACAGGAGTCTTCTCTAGCACCAGAGTTCAAAAGCCTCAATTCTTTGGCTCTCAGCCTTTTTTATGTACACTATTTTTTTTATGTACACTAGAGAAAGTCTGTAAAAGCTACTTTCTGGAGGTGCCTTCTAGCTATCTTGACCTATTCATTGTTTTCTTCATATCTTTCTTTTGAATTTTTTACTTCAGTCTCAAGATTATAAAAAAAATGAGGAATTCCTCACTGTGAGAGTTATTAAGAGTCGGAACAGCCTGCCTCCTGGAGCTCCATTGCTGGTTATTTTAAAGGAAAACTTGGACAGCAATTTGTCTGTAGTGCTCTGACGATTCCACCTCTGTGTAAGGAAATGTACTTTTTATTCTATGATTCTATGAAAAAAAATCTCTTTTGCATTGGTCACTAAATTTTCAAAATGTTTAAAAGTCACTGATTCAACCCTCATAAATTTTCAAAAGTCATAATTTTCAAAATTCCCAATAGTCACACCCAGGCCTATTTTACTACCAGAGGACTGCTGGCCACATGGACTGAAGCCAAAATATGTATATATACAACCAGTTTTGTGGGCGCGTCCTTTGTGTATGTGCGCAGTGTTCAAAATACACCAATCTCAAACTCTATAGCTTACCTTCTAGGGCAGCCCCGGTAAGTAAAACAGCTGAGAGCCGGAAATCCATTGTGCTGTGAAAATCAGCTGAGCTGAATATAGGACAGGATAGGGCGGGGCCAGGTGGGCGGGGCCAACTGATTGCCGGAACTACTGGTTCGCTAGAACTGGTCCAAACCAGCAGCAGCCCATCACTTTATGTATACACATATACTTTGGGAATAAACAATTCTTTCAGATCTTCTAATATTTACTCTCTGACTTTCAATTTATTTGGAGAAATATATACAAGTGCTGCCATCTAGGCAAATGTGGACAATTTACAACACGGAATTAATTTCATTTGGCTTTATACCTGTGGAATTTTATAGATGTTCAGGACATTATTTATATGATCAAAGAGTTCAGAATCCATCTCTTCAAGAATCGCCAGCAGGTTCTTTTGACTTCCACATCTGTAGTTTGGGATGTTCTCCTGTCCTGTAGACAGCACATCCAGCATGGCCTCATATGTCATTCTTGCATTGAAAAAGTTCTCATAGATGTTGTAGCCCAGGGTGATGTTGGGTAAGAGCCTTGAATTCTGGTTGACTTCATGAACAGCCAACAAGAAGGGCAGAATGTGGTAGAAGTTGTTCTCACTGCAACATAAGAAATTACATCATCTTTTTTTGCTCTACATCAACGATTCATGTGATCAACTTAAAAGCAATTGCATTCTTTTTGCCGATGATGTAAAATTATTCAATTCTACAGATCTGTTGTTTTGCAAAGTAAATCAACATAATCAGAATACCAAATATAAGCTAGGTGGCATTGATCTAGCAGATGACCTTCACCTTGTTAAGGACCTAGGTGTGCTTACTGTATCTCTGACGATTTATGCTCCAAAGCTCACTGTAACAGCATTGCTAAAAAAGCATTAAGAGTTGCAAAATTAATTTTACGAAGTTTTTTTCCTGGAAACATTGTATTGCTAATTAGAGTTTATAAAACTTATGCCAGACCAGTCTTAGAATATTGTTCAACTGTTTGGAATCCCCACCATATATCTGACATCAGTACAATTGAGCAGATTTATAAGTATTTCACGAGAGAAATCTTGCACTCTTCTATACACAATAGAATTCCCTGTGCTACTAGGCTCTAAATTCTCGGTTTGGATAACTTAGAACTGTGTCGCTTGCGGCCAGGCCTAGGTTTTGAATACAAAATTATACGTAATAATGTTTTACCTGTAAATGAGCTTTTCTGTTTTAATCGCAATCATATGTGTGCAAACAACCACTTTAATTCCTCTGTGATTAAACATTAACTTATCACAGAAAGTCTCTCTCCTCCTTGAATTTGGTTTTTAAAAAGTATCCCTTTTATCTAAACCAAAAGGAACAGGGAAGCCACAAAAGTGGCAAAAATGTTAAAGGGTGGAAAGAAAGAGTGGAGAGGGTGGTAGGAATTATAGAGTAAATGAAAGGAATGGGAAGAAACAGTAGGGAGAAAATACTAGAAATCTCACTGTGTTCTAAGGTATCATTCAATCAATTTATTGGGAGTTATTGTTTAAATATTGTTAATAAATAAATAAAATAGATATTAATAAATAAGTTGCTGACTCTCCAGAGTACCAAGGTAATCATTTTGAAAGCAGGCAGAACCCCATCCAGGCAAGATTCATTGTGGGACAGTGTTGGCAGTGCCCAGTGTTGCCCAGTGTTGAGGCTGACACTTGTGGAAGAATTTAAAAAGAAACTTTGCAAACTCAGGTTTTACAAAATCATCAGGTTCCCCAGGAGCCTTTCCTCTAAAGCAAATTGGGATGAGCAATAATGACTTGCCTTTCTCAAAGTGAGGAATAGGGGAAAGGAAATCATTCCTAGAAGAGACATTGGAGGTATGTGGTTGGAGAAGATGACACAGCAACATATCGATTTAAAACCTGGACTATTCCTGTTGTGTATTCTACCAGAAGCTTATAGTAAAGAAAATGTATACTAGATTATTCATGTAATAACTGCAGCTAGAATTGTTTTTGCACAAAATTGGAAAAGTGAAGAGATCCCTACGGATGAAAATATGAGTAAGAAAATATTAGAATGTACAGAAATGAATAGATAAACACTTGCAATCAAAAGAAAGGAAGAATCTGATTATTATAACATATGGGAGTTATTCTGTCAATGGTTGGAGAATAAATATGAAAGCAATGTATTATAATGGCAAATAAAAAGAGAAATGTTATAAGAATAGGTATATTAAATATTAGTAGTAATATAAGAATAGATACAAATAATGAATATGGTGGTAAATTTTAATTTTCATGACACAAAAATATGTACTCTGATGACAAAGTGTTTACTGAAAGAGGGAAGGTTTGTATTAAAAGAAAATTTTTATATATATATATATATATATATATATATATATATATATATATATATATATATATATATATATATATATGTAGGTCTTTGGTTATTCGGGTCTTCTCCCACGTAAAATTGGAAGTGTCTTGGCGACGTTTCGACGAAGTCTCATTCGTCATCTTCAGGCTGGTGTTCTCTTGCTCCTGGAAGCACGAAGCCGAGAACACCAGCCTGAAGATGACGAATGAGACTTCGTCATATATAATATATATATAATAATATATAATATGTATGTATGTATGTATGTATGTATGTATGTATGTATGTATGTACAAAGAAAAGACATTGGAGCAAGTAAAATCTATCACCAGAATCCTTGGATGAGCTGACAATTACCTTTTCAGTTGGTGAGTTGGAGGCTCGGAGAATGAAAATGGGTACAATCGAGCTCCGATTCCAGACATTATTCCCGTAATCCAGTAGTCTCCTGGCTTGTAGTAATGGAACCACTCCTTTTCTTCTATGATCACCTTAAAAGGACATTTCATCAGCGTACTGGCACAGGGAATTTGAGACAGAAACTGAAGCAGAAAAAACTGTATATGCAGCAGCAGCAACATTTGACATACAATTTACTGCAGGAGATCCTTCCTAGAGTTCTTTCTTCAGCACAGAGCTAAATCTCAGAGATCACAAAAAGACCACAACTACAGTGAAGAAGGTCCAGTTTACCCCCAGATTTGGAAGAGCTATCTGCAATTTCAGACTGCTAGAGTATTTGCCCAGCATTACCCCAAACTCTGATCTCATCACAGGAGGCTGTTACAAATAAATTATCATATGCTGTCTATCCCATTTGTTATCACATTGATTGGCCGCTAATTGTGGTGGTGGAAATCCCATAAACCTTGTTCAAAGGAGAATAAATAATCATGATTTTAATAATTAGAAGGGGAATTGGGAATGAGCCTTGGCCATAAAAGTGTGCCGTTGGAGAAAAGAGTTTTGTTTGACTCAGGAGAATAATCCTAATTTGAGAGTTGAGAAAGGAACAATTCAGGGAAGTTTGATTGTATGTGAATAAAAATACATTGCAATTGCTTTGCTTTTCCAATGCTTTCTCAATATCCAAAGAGAGATAGTGTAGAAGGCAGAGGTAATGGCATTGAGAGACCATTACCAAGAAAAGTTCAGATAAAAGTAGTACTGATTTATATGATATAGCTTTCCTAATCTGTAATACACTGAAGGGCTGACTGACAAAAAGACAAAGACAAAGAAAAGACACATGCACAAAAACAAATTTATATATTTATAGTAAAGGTTTAAGTGGGTATAGGTAAAGATTTCCCCTGTCAGTCATGACCAACCCAAGGGGCAGTGCTCATCTTTGATTCACAAATGAAGAACCTATATCTGAAGATGCTTCCATGGTCATGTGGCTGGTATGACTATGCACTGAAGATGCACGAAACATAGTTACTTTCCCACTGAAGTGGTACCTATTTATCTTCTTGCATTTACAAGCTTTTGAATTGTTAGGTTGGCAGGACACACACAGAGACACAGAGACACTGTATGTACAGTATATAGAAATGAAAATGGACATGGATAAAAAACAAGAACCAATTTTAATACTCATAAGCACATCTTCATTGTTTTTATTGGAATTTGGGGGGGGGGGGTTCTGGAATTCTGACATTATTATTATTTTTTTTACCTTTTAAAGCATTTAAAAGCATTTTATATTTTAAAGCATCTTTTTACTATCTATTGGCCTGAATAGGTAGTTAAAAAAAATGCTTTTAAAAGGTAAAAAAAAAAGGCTCCAACGATCACAGCTGTGGCGAGCGATTGTCAGAGGCTGTTTTTTTTAACCTTTTAAAGCATTTTTAAACTATCTATTCAAGGTAATAGGTAGTAAAAAAATGCATTTAAAAGGTAAAAAAAATTAATGAGACTATAATTTGTCTCATTAATTTATTCAAAGGAATGGAGAAAAAAATTAAAGTTGCTCCAATGTTCATGTTTGTTTGTTTTTGTTTGTTTTTATTAAATTTATATACCGCCCTACTCCCGAAGGACACAGGGCGGTGAACAGGCACAAAATAAAATACTTAGATACAAAAGATAGAAACATAATTAAAACCAGATTAAATAATTTAGCCCAAGACTATTAAAAATCCCAATAATTTAAAACAGATTAAAATTTTGATTTAAAAGAATTTTAAAATAGGGGAGAAAATTAGGCCAGGCCGGCTTGCTGGAATAGGAGCACGGCAGAAAGTGCACAGATCCACTGTCCAGAGACAAAAACCAGGTCCATCGTGTTTCCCCCTGTGTGGGTAGGGCCATGAATTAACTGGGTCAGGTCCATAGCTGTCATGGAAGCCATGAACTCCCAAGCCACCTCTGATGTCTCACCCATGGATGGCAGGTTGAAATCCCCCATGACCATAAGTCTGGGGGTATCAACCACCACTGCGGCCATAACATCGAGGAGCTCGGGCAGGACTGCTGCCACGTGGCAGGGAGCCAGTACATGATCAGCAAACCCATCTGAACCCCATGACCCCACTTCACAAGGAGGGACTCACTGCTGGCCGTCTGAGAAACTGTGGCCTACCTCGGTCTCAGACCTTCTTTAATAATAACCGCTACTCCCCCACCCCTGCCCTGTGACCTCGGCCGATGGAATGCAAGGAAACCTGGCGGGCACATTTCAACGAGAGGAACCCCCCTCCTGGCCCTACCAGGTCTCCGTAATACCAGCCAGATCCGCTCCCCCCTCACAAATAAGATCACAGATGAGGGGGGCTTTATTTACTACGGACCTGGCATTGCACAGCATCAGCCGGAGGGCCAGGCCCTGAGGGTCTGTGCAACCTGGGGAACGGGTGGAGCCTTGGGGGCCGGAGCGTGCCACTGCTCGTAAACAGCAGGTGTGCACTCCCCTAACTTGATATGGCCCCCTGCTCCTGCCATATCTACCCCTCCCACTCACGGTAGTGATGTTCAAAGCACTATCCAGACAAACTCTGACTCCCCCCTCAACCCCGGGATCCCCACCTCCCACGCCGTGCTTCCTTGCCAGGCCCGCCCCTCCCCTTACTGGGCTATCCCCCATGCCCACAGCCTACATTCCAATCAAACC